AATGAAGTCTAAATGGGCCGCAGATATTACTTTACCAGCTGGTGAATGGTTTCCAAGTCGTGCAAAAGTAAACTACCTGGTGTGGACAACAAGGGAGTAGGGTCTGGAATAAAACTGACTTGTTGGTTGTTGTTGTTGTTGTTGTTGTTACAAGCAAACAGTGTATAAGCGACAACAGAATAGCTGCCTTTGAATAGTTCCAAAGGTTTTACTAAACTTTTCGGACTTCTGACAGTATATGGATGATGTTGATACCCTTTTCCAATGATACCATATAAAAAAGCATTCATTTCTGTATGCGGTCTCTCTCCATTCCAATCATCAACTCTGCATTTACACCGAAACATGTGACTCATTTTTTAAAGCATACCATTTTATAAGTTGCTACGAGTCTGTTATCAATATATTTGCGGTGAAAAGAAACCCATCTTCCTTCCAGTGTCACATGACCTACTTGTAAGTTGAACACTTGTCCAAGCGACTCCGAGTCACATTTCACATAAATATTTCCTGGTAACATGAGCCTATGACGAGGTAATGACTTACAGCTGTCCACTAAAATAGGAGAATAGTTTACATCATTAAGCATCCGAGAGTCGTGAAAAGAGGAAATTCCTTTCAAAACTTGTATCGATTCCGGATACCATTCGCCATTTATAAGATCTTCTGATAAAGGCATACCAGATGCAAATCCTTCCATGTATCCCGAACCACTTGCAATTGCATTTCCATCACAAAAGTCTCCATCTCGATGTTCGAGAAACACCTGAACGTCTCCCCACAACTGTTGTCGTTTGATATCCACTGGAAAACGAAATAAACAACGCATCGGAGGCTTTAATTCTGATACCAGACAAAGACAAAACTCAAAGTAAACATATGGTTTGGAACCTGGTGGTTGTTGTAGTGACACAGGACCCTTTGAATAGGAACCATCTGCAAGAAAAAGAAAACCTTCCTCGTTCAAATCGTAGAAATAGAGTTCAGTTTCCAGGTCTATTACATCTGCATCAAAAGACACACTGGGGAGAATTCTCGAGTGTCTTCGATATAGCTGATTATTCCTTACGACCATGGAGTTGTAGGACTCGTATCCAACTGGCTTCACATTCCACTCCACGAATGCTTCTGGTAAACTTGTCGAAGGTACTTGGATTGCGGTTCCTGTTTCAGGGTCGAAGGAAGCTTCAAAACCTTTCCATTCTCCAGCCACTGCAAGCTCGAATCTATCCAAACTTGCAAATATGTTCTGCTTTTCAACCCTATGACATAAAAGAGGTTTTCTATATATTCTAGTTAGTTGGAGAGATAGTTGAGTTTCTTTACAACATAGTTTCTGGTATAACCATAGCTGTTTATGATTAGAAGAGACATAGTTCACATTTGTCGACAGAAAAGCAACAATCATCTCTAGAGTTTCTCAATCAATCATGCATCCACGATATGAAAAGTTCTAATTTGGCGCAACACAATAATAAATAGTCATCACGTGAGCATTTTTTCTTTCTTATTTTGGCGCCATTTAAGGATCCACATTACGTTTAATATATTCCGACTTGCTCGTGCCTTGGATAGCTTGTGCTAATGATGATATTGAAACTACATCTGGATTGCGATATTGTTGAAAACGTGCAGTAACTTGTTTCACGTCATTGGAAAAAGAACGATCCAAATCATCACCGTCTGATAATTCCCCTTCCCTCAATAAATACGAATCTAATAAGAGATTCCACTTTTTTGGCGATTCCCTTAATGCCTATATCATTCCGATTTCAACCTTATCTCGTGATTATGCCAAAAAATATCTTACTTGTTGGTACAAGGACTGCAGGTCGATTTTGGGAGGGGCCACGCCACAACGTTGAAATTCATCACGTTTGCTGTTGAACATGTACTCAAATACCTTAAAGCGTTCCTCTTCGGAACAATTGGCCGTCCATTCCTCAATGCTAGCTTTAGTACGCGGAGACACTGCTTCTAAGACTGGAGTAACAATTTGTTCTTCCTTTCTATTACTATTATTCTGCTCTGATATCTGTCCTACTTCCATGGGTGTAGTAAGCTGCTCTTGGTGACTATCAAGTGTTTTACTATTAGTACTATGACTGCCTATGGAAACAAATGATATACATAATTGTTTCAACAAATAAAAAAGTAAAAGTAAAATAACTGCATGTGTCCTGAACATTTTCATTGTTGTTAGTACAATATCATCGGAAAATATCTTTCTTACCCATTTTCATGTTTTCTTTCCAGTTGCTTCCAAAGTTTCCAAAAATATTTTGTATCAAAATGAAAATCTATAGTGAATGCGTATGCGAACAAAAGAAACCAAGGAATACAAGTAAACAATACATGAACTTGGTAATCAAACAACTCGTTCAAAGTGCCACCAAGTTCATTGCTTCCCGTCCAAAGCTGGATCAACAGGGCATGTAACAAAGCTATCCAAGGAAAAATAAACACAACCGAACCAACTACTAAACTAACAAGATAAAGAGAAATTGTTCTGGAAAATAGAATACAGTATTTTCTTGGTACATTACGCAACTACTGGAAATCTGAATGTTTCATTATTTTGCTGTTTTTCAACTTACCTCTAGTGTTAAGGTTAACATAGTCACCCAGAATATAGCCCTGGATATTGCTTTGTCTTGAAAAGCAAGATAACCTCTAGAAGTTTCGAAGCCAAGGACGAATAGACACTGCACCGCCATGAGAGATATCAATGGAAGTAGTGAAGAGAATAGAAACGTCCTTCTTCTGCGTACCAAATAGAGAATCGAATAAGCAAAGACGTGTTCTACCAGCACTTGAGCAAGAGCCCAAAGAAAAGGTTCTATATACGAGCTATTCATCGTAATGGATAGTGTATCTGCAACTTTGTCTACCCACCAAAGAACACTTATGTACTCCACCATATCTAGTGAAAAATTCAACAAGAGAGAACACAACACGACGGATGGTATGGTTAGTAAGAGCGTCAACAAGCAATTTAGGAATAAATTTGTAAAATATACAAGAACATTTCTGTGTTCTCTTTGTTGTTTTCTTCTCGTTTCGATGGCACATTGTTGTATTCTATGGGACAAATAGGTTGACGATAACAAGCCACTCATAATAAAGAGACAAGCGTCCCAAAGCTCATAAAAGCTACTTTTCAACGAATAATATTTGCTTATAAAGGTTACCAGATAGGAAAGAATGAGCATAGTCAAGTGCCAAGGTAACGAGGCACAAAGATAGCTTGTCTTGCTACGAGTCTCACCACTATTCATCGAAATGTTTAAATATATTTTTACTCTATCAAATGAATCACAAGTTGACCTGCCGGATTGACTTGTGCATCTAATTGAATGGAAACTCTTACTCTGTCGAATATTTTTAGTCTAGTTCCTTTAGGTGTGATTAAAAGCTGCTTATCTTCATCGAATAAGGTAGCGGAAGAATTCTTTTCAAAGCGCACCAATCCTTCTAATCCATATCTACCATTCCTGTTACTCCTCAATAGAAGACGCCCAACTTTCTATTACTAACCTTGGCAACATAACTACAATACCGTTGGTAAGAAGACGGAACACTCTTCCTTCTTCTTCCCTTTGTTCACCTCGGAATAGTCGCAAAGTATGCAAAGCAACGGAGTCTCTCGCCGCCTTTTGGGCAGCACGATGTCTTTCATTCAAGTGATCTGCTCGTGTCAGTCCATATTTATAGCGAAAATATAAAAAAGGAAATACCTGCAATCTTCTGAATAGCCTTTGAGTTCAACAGACTATCTGGAAATGAAGTATAACCAATACTACCACTAAGCATTCGATGCACAATGATATCTTCCACTTTGTTTGAAACGGGAAGAACTGTTCACTATTAAAATGAATCTTACCTGCATATCTTCGTATAGGTGAAGTAAAATGTGTATAAATAGTTGATGCCAATCCATAATGAAAATATTCTTCTTGCGATGCCTACGAAAAAAAACAAAAGAATGCAATCCGGATTTTCACGAACAACTTACTTCTCCAGCAGAAAAATACAAAGCTTGAGTCATACATCGAGTGGTACTGATTCGAAACAACGTTGCCTTGAAAGGGTCGTTCTCTTCGTCGAACTTTTCTTGAATTTTCTCCAAAGAACGTGAAAGCTGTTTGTTCGAGGACACATCTATCTCTACACTCAACTAAAATAAAAACATGTTGATTTAGCTTGAAATTTTAAGCGTACTCAAATACTTACGGCAGCTGCAATTTTCAACAAAGGTTCAAACATTTCCTTGTTGGGAATGGGATGTCTTCTGAGTAGAGCACAACTAGGAAATGATCTGATGTTGCAAGTATTGTCAGCACAAAATTTGGGGTTCAAAATGAGTCATTCCTTACTTTGAGATACGTTGAGCAACAACAACATTGGTCAATAACATATATTCCTCCACCTAAATAACACTAAGTATATATAAAGCAACTCAAGTAAACCATAATACCAATTCATTGGTTTCATGAGTCTCATAAACGGAGACATTTGTGATTTCGTCTCCTTCCTTTTACACAGGTGAATATTTTCGAGTTATTAGAACGTGTTAGTATCTTACTTGATCGGTTTCAAACCGAACTTCAGGAGATGATAAACGAAGAGCACCATTTTCAAAACGTCGCTTTCGAAGTTTCTGTGCAATATCCATTAGACGCAAAAGAGAAAGTTCTATTTCTGTACACTAAGTAGTTGTTATATTTGATTGGCATTCTTTCAGTGAAGAAACATCTCACCTCTTTGGTTTCCTTCTTTCTGGCTTGATTGAGATAATCTTGGGCTTCAGCATAGGTAAAGGCTTTTCGAGAACGAATGATGGTACGTGCAAAGTCATAATGTAGAACATTTCCTTCATGGTCTATTGTTATAAATGCAGAGAAAGCCAATCTAGTTTCGTTTTCTTTGCTTCAGATTAGCAACAGTAAGATGCTTCCTAGTTAAAATACCTTTCAAGCTACAAAGATCAGACGAAAGTCGAGGAGGCAACATTTCAATTCTTCTGTCTGCCAAATAGACAGTAGTAGAACGATCTGCTGCTTCTTTATCCAATGCAGTGTCTCGAGAAATAAAACTGGTCACGTCTGCTATATGAACTCCAACCTATTTGCATTTATGAAAAGAACAAAATGGTGAGCAAGCTTTCCTACCATATAGTTGTGATTCTCATCCAGTTGAATACTAAGGGCGTCATCAATATCAGTACATCCTGGAGGATCGATACTAAATATGCATAAACTTTGTAAATCTTTTCGGTTCTTAAGCATATCTGGCGAAAATTGCAAGTCATCGGCTGGTAAACATTCCAAAACTGCTTTCGGAAAAGCTCTAGTAATGATCGAATTCTCATGCAACAAAACCTTGGTTTCGGTTTCTATGTCACCCTCAACTCCTAATTCTTCAATGACATGACCACTAAAAGAATATAACTACAATACATAGAAAACAAAAAGTGACTTACGATGGAAACATGGAATTTCTTTCCCATGAGTCAATAGAAACGACAATCCGTTTATCAGTCAAATCAGAAACTCGTCTTGAATGGATTCTTATCTTCGGAATGCGTTTATCCACCTTGAGCAAAATATTAACACAAATAATTGAGATATGAAGAATGCTAATTATTACAGGAATAAACAAAGTTAAATGAGACGACCCTTTTGCTTGTAAGGAACCACAATAGGGTCTCCAATTGCGACGCTTGATAGCTACAACTCTTCCAGTAACTTCCTTGCGAACATTGATGTTTTGAATAACGGTAGATGGTGGCTTTGAGGTTTCCGCTTCTTCAATGGCTTCTTCTATATCTTCCTTTACTTCAGTTGACGGAGTACACCACTACCACGCGAAATGAATTTCTTCGGTATGGCAAGTTGGATAAAAAGCTTACCATTTCCTCTGGAAGAAGTTCTACAAAGACAACATCTCCATCAATGGCTCGATTGATATTCTTAATACCAGAAACGAGAATGGTTTTCGCAGATTGTTGCTGACTCTTTCCGGAGTAGAGTACTTTTCCTTCCATACAATTATAAGAATTGGCGTGAAATACACCCTAAATCATATCAAATTCCTCAAGTTCTCACCAAACGGAAACTCCTTACTTCCACAACTCTATTGGCATTTAAAGCATTTTGTATTTGTTGGGTATTCCAGTATTCATCATATAAAAATTTGCGTTTGCGATCATCTTCTACGGAAACAACGTGAAAATGAGCTTGGCTTATACAATGAAGAGAATAAATACCTTGTTCTTCACTCGAATCTGCAGTATTCGCTGCAACCAATTCACGAATATGTGGATGCCTGCTCTCATACAAAGTCACAAACTCTTCGACTGATAGAGCTTCTACTCCTTCTCCTCTTGCACCTTTTGCATTATTCTTATCATTTGTTAACAAAACAACTCGTTTCCTCCTGTTCAAATGTGTCGTATACCATCTTGCGGCGACTCGTATAGATCTGTCATTGTAGTCATTGGAAGTCTCGTCTTTTTGTCTCTCAATGAAGGTTTCCTTATGGTGCTCGTTGGAGAAGGAGACGAAAGATCGACTTTGGTCATTTAGCAGCTTTTTCAACCTCTCATAAACGGACATATTTCGGTTCCTTGTCTTTGGAAGGTTTACTATAAGGCGAGTGTAGGGCAGGAACACGTACCTCTTGTAATACAGTCTGTAACAATATCACATCGGTCACCACATCACTTTCCAATAAATCAAGCTGGTGAAGAACAATATTAGTATCTGGTATGAGGTAAAACTCTGCAGAGTTGCTTAATAACTTTACTTCCTAACGAGAGTATTTGCCTATGATGTTGCAACCAGAACAAGAGAGCAAATTACGTTACCTTGTGTGGACAAGTCGTACACAGTGGAGAGAGACATGGAATATCATCTCTTAAATAGTGCTCTTTTGTAACTTTAGCTATATTTCCCTTTCTGGTTCGCTTAATAAAACTTTTTCCTCGCACATTCATCTTCTTTATGTCGAATACGAATGATGGCTTCTCGAGAAATGATGAATTTATTGTAGCGTCTGTTGAACTCATTGCTTCGATGTGTTGAGAAAAGTAAAACAAAACGAGTCGGTTTACTTGCAATCTTTTGTGCAAAAGTGACAGATGGAAGACTGGAAATAGCAACTTGCTTGAGTCTATAAATGCTCTGTAAATAAGTATGTTAAACATATCTGGGAAGAATTATTCACTACCTCGATAAGGAGTTTTTGCAATTTCGAGAAAGGTATCAAAGAGGAACCTTTTCAAAGTCCCATGCATACTTCAAAAGATAAGTTATTTCGGTGGAAAATATTTGGTTTTCTGTATACTCCACGAGAGCTACAAATAGCCTTTGAGTGTTGAGTATTTAACCAACAACGAAGGAATACCGTTGATAGTTTGAAAGGCATTTTCTATCCGCAAAGTCATTTGTGACACAAGTCCTAAATATTCTGGCAAATCTGTAAGCTGTATTTTCTGCATTAGTGTTGTCGCCATTTCATAGTTTTCTTCCAAAAGTTGGATAGCAGTCTCTAGTTCATTTCGAGACAAATGACTCTCCATTTGTTCTGTCAACGCATCATTAAAGGAGTCCTTTGTCTCTTTGGAAATTGTTTCTGTATGACATGAAGAAGGCTACATATATTGTTCATCTCTAGACTTTTTATAAAAACTGAGATGGTTACCTTTATGTCAGCTAATATGGATGAGAAACTTTCGATGATATCTTCAGTCATTGTCTTCTGTAATTCATTGCCTGTTTGGTTGGTGTTATTGACATGAGTTATTTGTTCTGAACAATGGAGTTGTTGCGTTGTCGTTTTATTCTTCGTATGTAACGAAAAGTGAGAAGTTTCTTTTGCATTGAACTTGTTTTGAGAGTTGCATATGTTGTCCAAATGAATGAAAAATGGTTTTTTGTCTTTCGATGCAGGTGAAGTTTCATCTTGAGGTTGTGACTCAGACAGTGCTTTGGATAGAGAGACTAGGTCAACTTTAGTTTGTGACTTGTGTGTTAACTACTACTTACATTTTCTTAATGGTTTTTCGGGTGTGGTAGTCAAACTTTTGGACTTTCTTTCTGTTGGAGCATTACTTTCCTTTTTCAATGCAAAAAACATTCAATGGCGCGAAGAACAAATAAGGAGTGGCATTTTTTTCTTTCTCTTTGCAATCTTAACATTTTTCTACGTATCCTAATAATACTTTGAGGAGGACATATTTGTCTTTTGTAGCCTTTTGATAAATATTTTGTATTTTCCAATGTCTGTTTTCAATTAGGCTCCATTTTGAACATCCCGAAGGAAAGAGACATCTCACAGTCAACTCTTCCATTGTGCAGATTGAAAGAATGGATCCAAACGACGCTACTTATCTTACTCGCAAATTATTGGTAAGTTGCTTACAGTTTTCAAAAAGATTGTAGACAATATAATAGTCACAGAATCCAGAAGACCCTGATGACGTCTGGTATTACTTTGAAAAGAATGGCTACGGATGGATCAACCCCTTACACGACATTCCTTTGTACGTAGATAAACAGAAAGGAATACTAAATATGATTGTTGAAATTCCTCGATGGACAAACGCCAAGTTGGAGCTGAAATCTGCTGAACCTTTGGCCCCCATTGTACAAGACACGAAGAACGGTAAACGACGATATGTACACAACGTATATCCATATAAAGGATATATCTGGAATTATGGATGTTTTCCTCAGACTTGGGAGGATCCGTCGCAAGTAATGTTGTGCAATTGGGTTGGTTATGGTTGTTATCTCAAGGTAAGTATAGGTACATATGGAGACGGGAGCGTTGGGAGACGGAGATCCTTTGGATGTTTGTGAAATTGGAACAACTATAGCAAAAGTTGGCGAAATTAAACAAGTGAAAGTGTTGGGAGTATTGGGAATGATCGATAGTGGAGAAATGGATTGGAAGATTGTGGCAATCGATGTTCATGATCGTCTTGCTGAAGAACTCAATGACGTGGATGATTTGTATAGGTAAGTCTTTGAATTATATAGTCTTCCTAATGTTTATGGCTTTAGGATGTTACCTGGTTTACAACATGCCACTTTTTCTTGGTTCCGCACTTACAAAATCCCAGATGGGAAAAAGGAAAATTTATTTGCCTTTCGAGAAGAGATACAAAGTCGCTCCTATGCCATGGAAATTGTTGAAGAATGTCACAAAAGCTGGCACAAGCTAGTAACTGGTCGTGTAACCCATCCAAATCACAACTGTATCAATACCACTTTGGAGCCTTCCTTTTCTCCTTACCGATGTCATGTGGAGGAAGCAGACAAGTTGATAAGAGCACTTCAATCCAATATGAGGGAAACAACGAATTCTAAAGTGGAATCCAAGTTGACACGAAATCAATCCCTTGCAGAAATAACAAAAGGAGATGCAGATACTCATATGGAAGACAATGCTGCAACCCGACAACTATTAACTATCAAAAGATTTTGTACCCAACAACAACGACAGTAAGTGAATGGCATAAGAAATGGGAGCAACTAAGAAGCATACTATTCGTTTAAGGTTTCCACATGGAAGCAATGATTTGGCTTTATTAATGTCCGAAATGGGAGTTGCCTTTAAATGCATTGCAGCTTATGTCAAGGATCGACCCTTGATAAAGCTTTATGATATGCAGAGATATGCAGATTTTCAAATTTACAGTTCTTTGGCTTCATCGGTATGAAAAGAAATCGTAGTTGTGATGAAACCAGTCTTTTATGGTCTTTAGGGTTTATGTTGCTTAATATATTCTACTTTTGCAAAGGAGTTTTTATCATTGGATAAAAATATACCCGTAGGCAATTATGTTGTAGTTTATACTCCCTTATGTGGAGTGATGGGAGGTTCTCTTGGAACCATTTTCTCCGTCTATTATCGTAAATCTTCTTCTGGTAAAGAAGGAGATACTTCAGACCTTCTTCAACGAACAGGCTTTGATCAGGTGGCAGCTGGCTATTGTCTTTACAGTAGTTCGATAGTGTTTACATTTTCTATTGGATTTGGAGTTCATATGTTTGGTTTGGATATTGTTTCTGGTCACTTTGTAGTTGCTCATCCACATGTTCACATACCTGAAAGAGGTTTATTGTATTCTGTGGATACTCAAGTTATTTCCAAGGTAGCTTTTCTGTCATGTTTCTATATTGAAAGTGCTCATACTTGAAAGGCTGTGGATGGAGTAGATGCATTTATTGCGAATATTGAGAAGGATGCTAGTCGTCATTTTCGGTTTGAAGATTGTATCGTGGCCAACTTCCATAAGATATTATGTCAAGGAGGTATTATGATGCTGCCTGGTCCTAGGAAAGAGAATCTTGCCAATTTCCTTGGAGAAGCTGCACCCTTTGCGTTTTTAGCCCGACAAGCTGGAGGTAGAGCTAGTGTTGGTCGTAGACCTGTATTAGAATTGAGTGCTTGGTAAGTCTTATGATAAGGACAGCTGATAGTCAATTATTTTGCTTTAGGTCGTTAGAGATGTGTGTTCCTTTGTTTATTGGTTCCAAAGAGGATGTGGATGAAGTAGAAAGGCTTGTCTTGGGTCATTCTGTAATAGAGAAAACAGTTATGGGTGCAACTGTTATGTACGAACTATAAAGTAGTTGGTTCTTTCCATAAAGCCCTTGTCGCTCGCTGTTTGATTCCGACCTAGTTGGCAATTGAAGAACTAGCCGGTGCCCAGCGTTCCTTATTCTTGCTGCACCTTTATGTTCATCGCCTCCCAAAAATATATTATATATATATATATGTGAGACGATGGCCGTCATCAGCGCAGACCAATGAATTCATGAAATTGGTTGAATGGGAAAGAGTTGGTTGACCAAAAGTTTTCTATTCATAGCTTTATGTAGTTTTAGCTTTGTATTGGCTATTTTGATGTAATACTTTGTGTTTGTGTTTCCTTTCAATTACTCACTGGGGCATTAGTTATATTGTTTTCTACTTTTTGATGATACCTCCCACTTTTTATCGTATGCCCTTGTTTTTTGACTTTTCTTCACCGTAAGAAACTCTCGAAAGAATATCACGTCTTAACAAACTACCAAGATATCCTGTTGCTATGGTGAAGCTTCCTTGCAAGAAACTTCGTTATATGAATCAATTGGAAGGCACTTTGCACGTTTGTTTTCCAGATTCTCCACGCAATATGAATTTAGGAATGCTCAAGGTGAGAAAAGAGAATGGAAGAGAATATTGAAATGAAATTGTCGTGTAAAAGTTTACGCTGGAATTGTTGGATACCCACGAAACACTATTTTATTCCCGTTTTCGACCTACCATACTACGTTATAAGAATGACTTGGAAATCAAGATGGAAACTTGGACTCAACTCGTTTTTCTGTTGTTTGGATGGAAAGTAAGTTGTTGCATTGTTTTCTTTCTTCCATAATGTGATAAGAAACGACAACAATGTCAAAGTTTGGTATTGCTAGAATACAAGGAAGTGAGTGGTGATGGATTCTTGAGACGTTGCAAAGAGGACTTGATTTTGAGAATTTGGATAAACAAAGCAGATGTGGAGGTAATCCATGCATTCTTTATGTTTTTGAGAGGAAAGATATTGAGACAAAACACACAAGGTTTATCATTCAGAATTGCTATTGAAGGGACGATTGAGAGGTATTCGTTATGCAATGAAACATTACAAGTGGACCTTATCATCCATCATCATTGGTAGTTTATGGTTTTGGTCGTTTTCTTTTCTTTGCTTTGGCACATTTTGGTTGATTGGATAACCAAAAGTAATGTTTATGAGAAAAACAAACTAATCTTTCTTTTTCTTTTCTACACCATCCACTTGTAAGTGGTCTCCAGCAACAGGATAAAACTCACAACTAGAAAAGATAATAAAGGTCTCATGTTTACTCCTTTCTAAAACTTACCTAAAGTTGTTCACGTGAACGGTTTGTCGCAACTGGATGATCCTCTGAGACAAGTTATCGATAGCTTTCTGTTTCACATCTCCCGAAAGTTTCTCAATCATTTCGTCATATACTTGGATAGTCTCTTTAACTGCATCCTCATAACCATCTTTCTTCAATACATGATCTATCATAACCAATGAGCCTCCTATTTTGTCCATAAAACTGAACACCACAAAACATACTTCCAAACGGACCCAAACTGGTCATCACCTTGGACAACAAGTTTTCGATGTGCAACGAAAGTGCTGCCTATTCATCAATGGATTAGGAAACTTTATATCATCTAAATAACACTCATCACCCCTATTCTAGCTGCTTCCTTGGCTTGGTAAAGTTGCCGCATGGTGGCTTCCATCGGCTAGAAGAAATCCAGTTGTGAGAAAAACGCACTCGAGTGTAAATTGAAAGGTACCTTCCCTTCCGGTGTGTTGTACACACTGCGATATTTTGAAAGCAACTGGTTGGATTGGTGAATAAGTTGCAAATCTTTGGACAACCAATCGACGTTCTAAGCAACCTAAGTACTCAAAATACAAATAGAGAACTCCAATACCAAAAGTTGGGAGGTTAATTGCTTGGCTTCTTTTTCCAAGTTGGAAGAACTGTATCTTCTTATGGGATAACTCCACAACGCCTTTCTACTCCACATGATGATGACACAAAATAATGGTCTAATAATTTCTTCTTCTTCTTTCATCATGAGATATGATGATATTGACAATCATTGTTAAGCACGCGAGTGATTGAGAAGAATAATATATACAAATAGTCTACAATGATGAAATATCATATCTAGTAAAGGTCTCTCTCTCTCTCTCTCTCACACACACACACACACACACACACATTGAATAGGAAGAATAGTCACATTGGATTGGTCTTATGTCTTTTGTTGTGGTTGCTCATGTCTGGAGACGACCCATGTTGTTGTTATTGAAAAACAACTTGTGGAGAGCTTCTTATTCTTTATATGTTCAAGACAAAAATGGGTTGTTGAAAAGAAACTTGTGGCAAAAGAGACACTTTCGTTACTCACTATCCGGAAGAAAACTGAACAAGTTGGAAAAGGATGCAGAACTGTATCCTACTGACCCTTCTAGAGTGTTGGCACTGTTCAGAGCTTTGAATGAAGCTGGTGAAAGTGAAAAAGTAATAAGGAAAGTGGAAGGAGGAGGGTTACAAGTGACTTCAGAAGACGTCGTTAAAGAATATATAAAGGCGCTCATTCACACGGGACGTTTTGACCGTTCGCATCTGGCTGACGTTCTTGAAAGAGCTGGTTATTCTCATGAAGTGGCGTTTGAATATTCAAGAGAACTTCCTTCAGAGGGTCTCGGAGACGTAAGTTCTTATGGAGTGACCGGTGGTCAAAGTGGAAAAGCAGCAACTCCCTTGCAACAAGGGTACCCTACAGGTTGGAGAAACTCTGCCGCTTTGCGCAATGAATATTCTGCTAGACCTGTCACTTTTGCAAGAACGGCTACAAGTCCTTCAACAGTCGGGGTGCCTACGGTTGGCCAAGTTGAACATAGTTTGAAAGATGCCAACAGAGGTTACCTTCCTGTAGCAGGTTCACCAGAAGAACCAGTGCATGTGACGTTAGCAGAACCAAGTACAAAGAGTCAGTTTTGGAAACTCATTCGTTCAGTCGCAGTTTTCTTTATAGTCATATCCGGTTTGGGCGCACTTTTTGAAGAACGTTCAGTTGGTAAAGGACTTGGTCTTCACACAGAAATACAACCAGAACAAGTAGGAAATAGTCCAAAAAGATTTGAAGACGTAAAAGGGTGTGACGAAGCAAAGGCAGAACTAGAAGAAATTGTTCATTATTTACGTTCTCCTGAAACTTTTACTCGGTTGGGAGGAAAACTACCAAAAGGTGTCTTATTGGTTGGACCACCTGGAACAGGTAAAACACTCTTGGCTCGTGCCATAGCTGGAGAGGCAGGTGTACCCTTTTTCTATGCAAGTGGTTCGGAATTTGAAGAAATGTTTGTCGGAGTGGGTGCTAGAAGAGTACGCGAACTTTTTGGTGCTGCAAAGAAGAAAGCACCATGTATAGTTTTTATAGATGAAATTGACGCAATAGGTGGAACGAGAAATCCAAAGGACCAACAGTATATGAAGATGACGTTGAATCAGCTTTTGGTAGAGTTGGATGGCTTCAACCCCAATGAAGGTATCATTGTCATTGGAGCAACCAACTTTCCAGAGTCACTGGATAAGGCTTTAGTTCGTCCAGGTCGTTTTGATAGGCATGTTGTGGTTCCCAATCCAGATGTGGAAGGTCGTAGACAGATACTTCAACTGCATACCAAAAATATAAAACTTGACAACGATGTGGATCTCTCTGTGATAGCTAGAGGCACTCCTGGGTAAGATGATGTGTTTTTGTTCAAAAGAGGTTTCGCTGATTTGTTTGTTAGGTTTTCTGGAGCTGAGTTGGCCAACTTGGCAAACATGGCTGCATTGAAGGCAGCATTGGAAGGAGCACCTTCAGTGGCCATGCAACATTTGGAATATGCTAAAGATAAAATACTTATGGGTGCTGAACGGAAGAGTGCTGCTATTTCAGAGGAATCGAGAAAGCTGACGGCATATCATGAAGGAGGACATGCTCTTGTCGCTTGTTTTACAACAGGAGCTTTACCCGTAAGTACTTTTTGTTTCTATTCCTCAGTAAAGTTGGGTTGATGTAAGGTTGTAGATTCATAAAGCAACTATTGTTCCACGTGGAGTATCCCTTGGCATGGTGTCGCAACTACCAGAATCAGATATGACCAGTATTTCCAGACGCCAAATGATTGCCAAACTTGCAGTTGCTATGGGAGGCAGAGCAGCAGAAGAACTGATTTTTGGTGACGATAATGTAACTTCTGGTGCTGAAAGCGACTTTTCTCAAGCCACCAAACTTGCAGAAGCTATGGTTACGAGATATGGAATGAGCGATAAAATCGGTAAATTTGTGTTGGAAAGAGAAAGTGAGAGTCCTGAGATGCGAAGTCTTATTGATTCAGAGATGAAAAAGTTGCTTGATGAAGCTTATCACCATGCCAAGCAAGTTTTAATGGAACACAAAGAAGAACTGCATCGTCTGGCCAGAGCTTTATTAGAAAAAGAAACATTGACAGCAGATGAAGTGAGAAAAGTAGTTTATTCTGTACAGTACTTGAAACAGGAGCCCTTGGCGTCCAAACAAGTTGCGAATATGGGTAATCAGCAGTCTTATCAAGAACAACGAGGAGGAGGAGGAGGAGACGCGTTAGGAGTACGAGGTCCCAAGTCTTTAGGAGAGACTTCCACAGCGGCTGCAGCTGCACCACAATAAACATTTCTATTTACTGTCCTCTTGTAGGAGCGTCCATCATCACCAAATGAGCAAGTTGTTTGGTAAAGTTGCGTAACCAAGGTTCCAAGGAAAACACCAACCCTAAGTTACTTCCTTTTTCAACTAGTATCGTTACGAAAAGTGGTAAAAAAGGTAACGCAATAAAAACTTCTTGTTGATACTCAAAAATAGCTCTTCTAAAAGCACCCACGGATAACTTTGCTGTTTGATCGAAACCACTAGAAAACGCGGTTGAAAACTCTGCACAACGGGTAGCAGCACCAGGTGAGCGTTCTATTTGGTATATAATGACACCGTCTCGGTCAGTTATCACGAGTCCTTTCAAACCATGAATGGATTGCGTCAATGCTTCCATTTATAAATTTCCACCTTTTTCCATCCAACTCTTCCCATATCGATTCAATAGATTGACATACCATCGAATCAAATATGGTTTGCGTACAGCGTCGACACCTTCAACAACTTGACGCAGTAAACTCAACAATGAAGTATTCTCTGAAGACTCTCTGCGTTTCAAAAGATACTCCCAACTTCGAAAAACAATGTCCAACGAAGATATAGGACACTTTAGCAAACCGCGGGCCATTGCAATAGCTAGAGGGCGACTTTGCTGTGTTTCTTTCCATCTTTGGTCGATCTCATCCGCTAAACTGATCAAACACCCAAAAAGAATATCACTCGTCGAAAAGCTATGCTTGCTGCTATCAGAGTCCTCGTGCTGACTCAAGGTAAATAACGTCGCACTTGGGGTTTCTAACTGAAGCAGCGCATCCAAACTGGATATCAGGTCGACAGCTGATAATACTTTGGGATATTGCAACAAGGTTTGCTTCCAATAGGATAAAACAAAGGGTAAAAATACCGCACGCTGTTTGTGACTTGCCATACCTGTTCGAAAGATAGCGTGACAGCTGAGAACCAAAGATGGCATGTCAATAGAAAATATAGAAAAGAGCAACGAAAAAAGTTGTGGCTGCTTCTCCGTTAACGCGTTGACATTCAAATAAGGGATGCTGGATACAATACTGTCCAATATGCAAGTAATCCGACTGGCTGCTACTAGATGCTTGTTTCGCGCATTGCTAACGTTCAAGTCTTCTCGATGCGAATGAAATGTTTCCAGCCAGTAATCCAACAAAAGTTTCGTAAACTCGGAAGTATATTCTCCTTCAGGAGATGCATGAGCTGCAGCTTGCATTGCATTGGCGATAATACTTTGTCGCTCCACAAGGGAGGGGCAAAAATATCCAATCATCGATATCGAATCTAATATGGAAATCAGATTGACACCATCATGTATTGTAGAGAGATTTTTGGAACGGTAAAGTTCTTCCACTGTTTCAAAAATATGATTAGAAAAGGAGGAAACCATCCTCCATATACCCAAAACGGCCATCCTTGCATATTCTACTAAGCTATCTTGGGAAACTGGCCAACTTTTACAAGAATTGAAAACTTCTTGGCAAGTATTTAATAACTTATTGTGAAAGAATGAAGTAATATGCTGTTTGGGGTTGCGAATAAGTAATTCTGCAGCTGCATATCCGAACGAGGTGGAATGGTAGCAAAGAATGTTCCAAGAATCTTCATCAAGAGGTTGGAAAAATTTTTGTCTTCGTAAAAAAGGTGCAGATAAATAGTCTAGGCAATGTGCCAGTATGAAAATGGTAGAAGACAAGGAGTCGATTCGCTTGCAACTGGCAGCAATTCCACAAGACACTGTCACTGTATACAGAATAATACCAAAGTCCTGTTCACAAGTTATATTGGCACTGTAAATACTATCCTGCGTAGCACGTTCTATCTCCTGCTTGAAAAGATTATGTACTGTACGATAGCTGTCGTTGAAAGCATCCTCGGGATTCCAGGCTCCTATTTGTATCCATTATCAAAACTGTCAAGATAGGAAAAAAAGAAAACTCACTTATGACACCGGCCAGTATCATAAAGCCTAAGCTTCTACTCTGCATATCGCTGCGTCTTTCTAGCGAAGTTCTTGTATCAGATACCAGTTGCTCCAAAAAGGAAACTTTCAGGCTGTTTTGCTTCAGTGCATTTAAAGTTCCTTCCACCAGTGCAGCAATATAAAGATGTTCTCTCAGAGCCCAGTTTGACGACGCCGTGACTTCAAAAGCTGCTCTTAGAATTTCTGTAGCAATCCAATCACCAACTATACCAGTTACTGAGACAGCGGTTTCGCAAAGTGTACTGAGCAAAGTTTTCCATTGTCTCTTGGTGGAAAGGGAAGCTGCGTGTTGGAATACTGTCATTACACAATTTCTTCGTTCAGGCTCTAAAACGAAAAGTGCTAAACCCGAGGTCTGCAACACTTTCGAGACGAGTCCCACTAATCTGGGTGAACTTTTCAATTGTTTGTACGCATATACTAAAGAACGGACGATAGAAAAACAGAATTTCTCTTCTTCTTCCTTGTACTCTGTTCGGTTTCTGTGGAAGCGCAACAAGGAAAATTTCTTATCTTCGTTCGCTCGAAGCCTATTCACGTCCTCCAAATATTTGGCAAGTATTTGCAGTGATTGGTTGCATTCACATTCATCAGGAGGTGGCAAGAATGGTGCTTTCTGTACAGTATGTCCGAAAGAGTTCAACGCTCGTTGAGCAACTTGTAAAGAAACAAGAGGAGTTGGCGCCTTTTTGGGCATTTTTCATGTCAACGCTCCATAAGAAAAGAAGAATTGGATTTATGATTTTTCTATAGGAAACCAAGTCCTTTTAAACAGTCTCGACAAGTAGTTATCATGAAGTTGAATAAAAATAGGTCTTCCATGAGGACATGTTCTTTTGTTACCTTTAAGATGCATCCACTGGTCCACCAGTCTATCCATTTGAAACTGTGTGAGTTCCTTTCCATTATTCCAAGCACAACGGCAAGCAAAGTCTGCCAAATTATCCTCCAAGTTGCGTTGAGGATTAGCAATTCTCATCAATTGTGCTTCACAAGAGTCGTTATGATGCAACATATCGAAAATGATTTTTGGCAATTCATCAATAGTCCATGTAAGCATACCATCCAATGACCTTGCGTGAATATGCAGTTGTTGTAATCGTTCTATACATATTTGAGGTACTTTGAAACGTTTAGAAGAATCGAACCATTAGCCTTGAAGCCTACCTCCTTGTAACAATAACGATGAGGGAAGTGAACAAAAGGATAAGAACTCTGGTTTACTTCTCCACAATTCACATAGTTTTTCAAATAGCACTCCTTCATGAGCGACATGTTGTTCCAACTTGTGCAATCTTAGTAGGCCAGCAATTCGTAGACTAGTACTCACTAACAAAACACTTGAGTCCGTTTCGACGACGATATAAGTCTTTTTCAGTTGTCCAACAACTTTCCATTCTATATGTTCCATAAGAATAATGAGAAAATAGGAAATTAAAGTATTCGTTACTTTGAAAATGATCGCAACTTTGCTGAGATAAAACTTTTTCTGGATATCCAAACCTATCATTTGTCCATTCTGAAGCATCGGTCTCCTTATAAAGTGCATCACTAACATCCAATGCTCGATCGATACAATAAGAAATATTCTTTTGTAACTCTTGTTGAATACAAGGCTTGATTTGGACGTCTATCTTACTCTTAGTTGGGAAGACAAAGTTGAGAATGCCATTCTTACCCAATTTCTTAGGACTAAAATCCCATATCACGTATGTTGGCTTCAACTCTATGAGTACGAAACAAAGGGGATATCTACCAGAAGGAATCATTTTCTTCGTTTTCGCCATAATCAACTACTCCATGATAATAAAAGAGCAATCAATTCATATCTACATATCCATACCTCTTGAAATATACTTTGTTCCAATATCCTTCCATTGATACTCGTCCACATCCAATCATTACGTGCTCGATGAATTCTTTCCGGTAATCCTATTATTACTTGAATATGACCGATAGGGTTGCCTTGTTGTTGTTCCAATTTTACTTGATGATATCGCAATTCATTGGATGGAATAGGAAGTACCTCGAGATATTATATCATCATTCGAATACCCATAGCAAAGAGTCCTTGTTACTTACTTGTACAACTCTTTCCAAAAGATGACGACATTTAGAATAGACAATGTAAGGTCTTCTTTCATGGATATTTTTCCTCAATCGAAAAGATATCTTTGGATAAATCAGCGCATATCGTTGGAACAAGTTTCTAATTTGTTTCTCATGTTGACCAGTTGCAGCTTCGTGTAACGATACTTGTACACAGGTACCCATATCTTGAGATACTGGAACAATATGATGTTTGGATAAATGGTTTGAATATTCTAAACGATATCCAACCCATTCCGAAGCAGGCCGACTAGAAATACATAACGATTCACAATAGATGGCAATTGCCCATAGAGCTTGTCCTCGAAATCCTTTTTGCAGTCAACATCAAACAATGATATGAGAGAGTAGAGTTACTAACCCAAAGTATTCATATGGTGCAAATCATCTAAAGATGCTATTTTGCTAGTCGTATGTGACTGGATACACAACTCCAAGTTTGCTAAAGACATACCCATACCGTTATCTATCACTCGAATCTATCCAACAACAATATTACTCTCTTTTATCCAAAATAGTCGAAACTACAACCCACTCTTCTTCTTTTGTCTTCTTGCCACTCCACTGTGATGATGTTGGCTTGAGCGTCGATGGCGTTGTCTAACAACTCACGAACCACATCAACAGGAGAACGAATAATCTAATCATGAAATTTGAGTCCATACGATATAAGTATGGCATATTATCCATCATCTTACTTCATCTGAGTGAATTTTTTCGATAACTTGTCTTGTCAGTGGTCTCACTTGGTGACTTGCTCCAATTTCTTGTTGTGCCCGTACTAAGTATCTTGGACGAAAAGAACGATAGTGGGAAGAATAAGCAGCATATTGCAGTGTTTGGAGTGGACTCTTTCCTATTGGCCACACGAACAACAACTTGTAGCATTCCATAGTACACAATGCATTATGAGAGATGGTAATCATCAATCATTATCATCCCAAGAAGAATGTTGTATTATTTATTATGAACCACAAGATATTGTACCTGAGAAAATACCAGCGTCGATGGGAGGAGAAGGACAAGAGAAACGATAAGTCATAGTATTCTGTTCAATACATCTGACTTCAATCTGTCCAGGTTGTAAGGAAGAAGAGCTATTTGAAGAAGTATTGGAAGCTCTCAACCAGAACATATCATCTCTTAAAGATACTTGATAAGATATTTGTTGCAAGATTCCATTCCAGTCGTAGGTATCCAAGTAACCTAGGATTCCAGTTAGTGACGTTTGACAAAAAATAACTCTTCCAACCCTTTCTTTCTATGATTTCAGCTATTTGTTGCATAGCAAGTGGCCAAGTTCCAGAAGATGGGGTGAGATCGGTGAGGGGTACTAGTTTGGATGAATAGGAATATTCGGTATAAGGCTTCAGTTGGTGGTTACCACTTTCCGCTACTCCAAAGAACAGCCAAATACATAAAAATTGAAATATCCAAATGAACCTTTGTTTTGAATAACCATAACTTGTAGACATGAGTAGAGAAGATATCCAACCAACAGAAACCAAAGAGGCAAAATGGATCTGCATTTTCTTTGACAATACCGAATCAAATTCATTCCCGTCGTATCATCATTTCTTATAAGAATAGAAATGGCGTTTGCGAGTATATCCCGTTACTGTAAAAGGCTATTATTTCCAAGTCGTAGTTTTTGTAATCATAGAAATAGTTTTCCTGAAGAAAACCCAAGTTTCCAACAAGAGTGGAACAGGGAAAGAAAAGGTCCCTCCACCTTGGAAACTAACCGTGATAAGAATTCTCCGCCTTACATTCACGATACCAAGTGGTTTGGTGGAAGTTTGAATCGAGTTATTCTTATAGGATATGTGGGTCAGAATCCTGTAGCAAGGAATATTTCTTCTAGGTATTTGGTTGCGATGCTTTGACTGGACTTGAGACTGAGATAAGCTACTAGTACGGTTGCTTGGAACTTCCCCCTCAGTACTGCATATAAGAGAAAAACAGGTGAAGAAGGTGAACAAGTTGTAACGGATTGGCATAATGTAACTGTTTATGCTTCACCTTCAGCAAAATTCTTGGAAGTTATGATTCAAAAAGGGTAAGGATGTATATTGTTGTAATTTGGAGGCCATATGGATCTTACTGTGGAATCCAAAAAGTAATCAACTTTTCCTTTCAGGTAGTTTACATACGAATACTTTTGTCGACCACTCGGGAATCAAACGTAAAAGATGTGAAATATCGGTTTCTATGGAAGGAAAGGGTAAGAAAGGAAAGAGTCAATATATGTATATATCTATGTCTATATATGTGTGTTTTTATATTAGGTGAAGTAAGACTACTAAGTCGACCCAAGAGAAATAATGAAAGTTTCCAGAGGGAAAGATTAGAAAACCAACAGGAAGAAAGACCTTTACCTGATTTTCAACCGATCAAAAGAGAAAAATAATTTCAAAAAGTTGCTTATTCACTTTTGCTTTGATTTCATATTATATTCAGTAAGACTTGAGTCATAAACCCCAATGATGTTATTTAAATAGTTTCCTATCAGTCTTCATCATCATCATCATATGCACATCTAAGAGTTGTTATGAAACACTTCGATCTTATCCAGTTGGAGACCAACAAACAAAGACCAACATATCACCTTTTGATAGAAATGTTTCTCTTTGTTTGGGTAATAAATGTTCGATTCGAGAGGAATAACAAGTAACAAATAAAGTAAACCATCGACCCATGAGTTGATATCTTGCAATGGCTACACTTTGAGTGACTTGTAACCTTCTTTGAATGGTCCGAAAATGTTCCAAAGGATCTTCACGTGGCACAATGAGCCAAATACAAGGATAAGATGGAAATTGGGATTCCATCTCTGAAACTGCAATCAAAGAATCCAATCTTATCTCTTCCGGCATAGAAGGTAATACAGAAGGTCTACATACTAAGCGACCAATGGAATGGAAAGATAAAGACAATTCATCATACACAATATGTACTTTCCAAGAGATATGATTGGTCTTTTGTAAATGTCTTGCACGTTCCGTTTCCATTTCTGCTGCTATCTGATCCATATCCAACGTCGCTTCGTCTATTTTGAACACTCCACTTAAGATGCGCTCCTTTAATCGTTTTACACGTCCTTTCAACTCTTCTGTTTCTTTAGTAACCATTTCTTCATCCTTTTCTTGTAGAGAATACTCCGAATGATGCACATGTTCTAAGAAAGACGAAGCAGAATGAGCCATTATGTTTTTTGGAATTGGGTAACAACTTCTTACTTCTCTTAACAGGTACTTTATTCTCTTCCGTATATTCGAACTCAGAAGGAATTTTGGGGATTGGATCGGAGTGTCTAAGAGCTCTCAAATAGTCATCAATAAAAGTTCGGAGCCTTTCTAATCCGTCAAAGGACGAGGGAAAGCGAATTCGTCGTTCTATAAAAGAAATAAAGCCTAATCCTTCCTTTTCAGACAGTTTAGATAATTGATAAATGGTATCAATGTCGAATATCAAATATCCTGAAGGAGGAAAGTGTTCGATAGCTTCGGCAACCCTAGAAGAAAGGTTCCAATGGAAGAAATAATCCTTGAAAGCTGTCTTCACTGCTTTGAGAATATAGGCAGTGGGGTTCTTTATCTCTTTGGAAGAGAAAGCTTCTATTATCCTCAAAGTATCTTTGGTATCCAGTCGAACTATTTGTTTGAGAAGAAATGCATCATCCTTCAAAAAAGTTCTCTTCGAATCAACATCTATTCGTTTTAAACACTTTTTTATAGTCGAAGAAATATCTAAAGTGTCTATTTGGTCGTCGAGCTCACGTTGTTGTTTCATCTGTTTTCAAGAAAGAGTTTGCCGTTGAATGCCACTTGGGAATGTGACAAACCCAACAAGCTTATTATTCTCCATTCAACTTGTGCATCTTTCAAGTATACTTTTACATCATGAAATGTATTGTGCTTTTGAAAGTTTCTTTAGAGTATATAACTACTCAACCAGTTGTCCCAAAGAATCGTATTCATTCTTCTTCTCATGTTTCCTCAAAGGCTTTGGTTGGGTTGTAACAAAGTGGTACAACAGTTGCAAAAAAGTGGTACTCAAAAGACCGTCGCAGTATATTCTTCTACAACTCAACGCTATTGTTTCGGACCTATTGAAAGACTACCTATTACTAGTAAGAAATATGGTCTTCCCAATAAACTGTACAACTCCACTACCAGTCGGGTTCCTATAACCAACCATAAAAGTTGGGACGGTTTTCTTAGGAACTTTTCGACCGATACCTCTTCTTCAGATGGTGCTAATAATAAGGTTCCTGTGCCAGTTTCTCCTGTCATCAATGTTGAAGACAACCAAGGGTAGGTTTGTGCTTATGAATGTGTTCGTCTCTCTGACTCTACTAATAGGAATGATAATGGCGCAACCAAAGCTCCAAGAGAACTGACTCCCAAAGAAATAGTTGCAGAGTTGGATAAGTTTATTGTGGGACAAACAGAAGCTAAGCGAGCTATGGCCATTGCACTACGAAATCGCTGGCGTCGACACCACGTGGTCAAGGAACTTGCTGATGAAGTTATACCCAAAAATATCTTAATGATAGGTCCAACAGGTGTAGGAAAGACGGAAATTGCTAGAAGACTGGCAAAACTTGTGGACGCGCCCTTTGTGAAAGTGGAAGCCACCAAATATACGGAAGTAGGGTTTCACGGAAGAGACGTCGATCAAATTATCAGAGATTTGGTTGAAAATGCAGTTCAGATGGTTAAGGCAAAGAAGAGAAGGGAGATAAAGGAAACTGTTGATAAGTTGGTGGAAGAGAGAATATTGGATGAGTTGACTGGTCCTCAGGCCCGAAAAGAAACTCGAGAAAGTTTCAGAAATTTGCTCAGAAAGGGAGCATTGGAAGATAGAGAGATAGAAGTACCAGAAAGTGGAAAGAATAAGTCTCCGCATGTAGTACAGATGGGAGACGTGATGCCTGAAATATTCAACTTGGAAAAGATATTTACGATGAGCAAGTCAGGAGGGAAGAAACGAATGAAGGTAAAGGATGCTCGTCAAGTTTTAGAAGATATGGAATCAGACAAGTTATTAAGCGATGAGTCTGTGATTCAACAAGCCATTCAGTTGACTGAACAAGATGGCATTGTTTTTATTGACGAAATTGATAAAATTTGTACTCCTAATGGATGGAGAAGCGGTGCCGATGCTTCTGCAGAAGGTGTTCAACGTGACTTACTTCCGTTGATAGAAGGAAGTACAATTTCCACCAAATATGGAAATGTGGATACTGAACATATACTCTTTGTTGCTTCTGGTGCATTTCATCAATGCAAACCTTCTGATTTGATGGCTGAGTTACAAGGACGCTTGCCTATTCGAGTTGAGTTGAAAGGATTATCGGAGAATGATCTTTATCAGATTCTTACGGTTCCTGTGAATAATTTGATTAGACAACAAGTAGAGTTGATGAAGACGGAAGGTGTGAATTTGGTATTTACTCCTGATGCCATTCGAGAGATAGCTGCAGTTGCTGCTGAAGTGAATACCAATGTAGAGAATATCGGTGCTAGACGTTTATATACAGTTATTGAACGTATTGTAGAAGATATTAGTTTCAATGCCCCTGATTGGAAAGGCCAAACTGTAACTATTGATGCGCCTAGTGTGAAAGGATCCCTCGGAGATATGTTGTTGAAGACAGATTTGTCCAAGTTTGTATTGTGATATGGAAATAGAACCACAACATAATTAGAGTAAATGGTTACTCTTCGTTTTTCTTCTGTTGGTTTTAAAAGCTTTTGACTCATTTTGAACACTATTCGTTTTCTTTTTTAGTTTCATCAGGTCCTACAACGCCATTATTTTCATTTCGCCATACAACGTAGGAAGATTTCCTGCTCCCATATACGTAGTATAATAGAAATTATTGTTGCAGTTATCTATAGAGAAAGAAAATATATAATGACAAAGTATTTTTATTACTAGTTGTTTTCCAACAACTCAACAGAATAGATGATATAGATTCTTGAATGATTTTCTCTTCCAGAAATGGTCGTCCGTTTCCATTTCTTCTTCTGTGGCCTTCCAGCGATTATTTCCAAGTCGGTTAGGCATCTTCAGTGGCCATTCATTGGTTAAAAACAAAGCTCTTTGGTTCTCAAGTCTTTCAGATCATGTCTTCTCAACAAGAAAGAGTAGCTATAGTGGGTTCCGGTAACTGGGGCTCAGCAGCTTCCAGGTTGATTGGCAAAAATGTTCGAAAAAGTTCCCGTTTCGAGGATCGAGTCAATATGTGGGTATACGAAGAAGTAGTGAATGGTCAAAAACTGACGGAGATAATAAACACCCAACACGAAAACATCAAATATTTACCGGGTTACAAGTTGCCAGAAAATATTGTGGCAGTACCCGACATAGTGGAAGCAGTAAAGGGTGCTACGGTATTGGTATTTGTAGTTCCCCATCAAGTAAGTTTTTCTGGAAACTTTTCATCATTGTGCTCATTTCAAAACAAGTTTATTCGCAATCTATGCAAACAAATGAAATCAGCCATTTCTAAACGCTGTAGAGGAATCAGTCTTATCAAAGGAATCGACTTTAATGAATCTGGTCCTCTGCTGATCACAGATATTATCAAAAGTGAACTGAATATTCCAATGTGTGCTTTAAGTGGTGCGAATATAGCGAATGAAATAGCAGCAGAAGTGTTTTGTGATATATCCATTGTTTGCTTTAAGTGGTGACGAATATAGCGAATGAAATAGCGGCAGAAAAGTTTTGTGAATCAAGCATCGGTCTCATGAAAACCAAGAAGATGGAGAATTGATGAAAGAACTTTTTCATGATGATATGTTTCGAGTTGGTCTCGTAAAAGATGTTCCAGGTGTTCAAGTTTGCGGTGCTTTGAAGAATGTGATTGCTTTAGGCGCAGGCTTTTGTGATGCTTTAGAAATGGGTAATAATACCAAATCGGCTTTGATGAGAATTGGACTGATTGAAATGCAACGTTTTGCTAAGAAATATTATTCCAACGTGAAATTGGAAACTTTTATGGAAAGTTGTGGAGTGGCCGATTTGATTACGACTTGTTATGGTGGAAGAAATAGGAAATGTGCGGAAGCTTTTATAACAACTAAAAAGCCATGGCATGTGCTCGAAGAGGAATTACTCAATGGACAAAAGTTACAAGGAACAACCACTGCTAAAGATGTTTATTTGACTTTAAAGAAAGACAATGCATTGGAAGAATTTCCACATATGGTTACCATTTATAGAATTGCATTTGAAGGATTGCCTGTCGAGAGAATCGTATTGGATATCTAAACCTTTGTATGGTTGGATATGGGTTGTGTCTTGTGCAATAAAGATATCAATCCTGCATACGCATTGCGATTTTCATCCTGTTGCTCCATTACTTGAGCTACTTGACAAACCACACATGTCATAGAATGCCAACTTTCATCATAACAAGCACCACAATATACACAACTCTTAGTTGGAGGTTGTATACAAGGCTTCAATCTACCTGCGTCGATTGCAAAGTTGCTTTGTTCTATATCATAGTCCAATTGGTTCTGATTGTTTGGATTGCGTTCACAAAACTGCATCACTTTCTTGGCAGTCCTTTCCATTTCTTCATTGGGTGCCAATTCTAATAACCTTTTCGCAAAAGTCAAAGCATAAAGATAGTTCTTAGTGGCATATGCCAATTTCATAGCTGCTTGTAATGCCAATTGTTGATGAGTAATCAGCATATTGCAATGCGTCATCAAAGCTGCCAATTCTAATTGTCTCAAAGTATCTCCTTTGGATTTGGCTTCCGATTGTTTGGTTCGAATCATCAAACCAATAATATACTCTCTACAGGTAGTCAACATTTCCATACAAAGACTGCATTGAGAATCGTTATCAACTATGATAAATGGAAGTGTTATAATCAATTGACGATAAAGATTAAATGCTTCTGAAAACTTCCCGACGGTCATTTTCTGTTCTGCCAAAGTCATCAGCTTTTCCATTTGTTCGAATCGATAATAAGGTTTGGGAGTATTTCTTCTCTGCCAAGTATCCAACATATAGATGGGTACGCTATCTAAACTGGGTAACATGGATACACAACTATAACTAGTGATATATAATTCCATAAATAAAGACTTCAACGGTTCCAACGAAATAAATCCCAACTCTGTCTTCAACATTTCTATCGCATCTTCCAAACGACCACTCATAACATATTCACTTGGACAACGTGCCATACGAGACCAAATCTCTCGAATGGATAATTTCTCTTCAGGAGTTTTATATTCCATCTTTTGTAAGCCTGCAATAGTAGCAATCGAATGTAATTTATCTGATCGTGGAGATATCGGTTCATTCAACCAATCTTGCTGTTGGGTTTCTTCATTCTTGAGATAATCATTATTGCCAAAGTCTTCTTCTTGAGTATCAATCTGAACATCTTCTTCTTCCCAGCCTTCTTCTTCCCATGTATCCTCTTTCTTCTCTATATGAGTTTCTAAAGGTTGGTTCATAAAGATATTACTATTCGCGGACTTGGCAGAATTTTCCAATACAGTTTGTGGAGTTTCAAAGACTTTCAAAGCATCGATGGCAGTAGCTTGCTTTCTTTCCTTGGAATGATGATCAGCCCAACTTTCTTCTTCTTGTTCCTCAGCAGCTACCAATGCATCTTCATAATAGTCCGTCACAGTGGGTTCTTCAAAGCTTTCCAAAGCATTAGGATTGCGTCTAAATAGACCATGTCCACCATTTGTTGCATTGGTCCATTCTAACAATGGCCAATTAGAAGTCTTTGGATATACTGGAATAGCAGGAAGTAACAATCCTGTCTTCAAAGGTATATCGCTTTGTAATTCTGTGGATAAAGAAGCCAATTTTGGTTTCCATTCAGATAACTGATAAGTATCTGCATATAACAAAGCCAACATGATCTGACCACTAGAATACAACAACTGGGTTCTCATATTCACATCTCCCAAATAAAAGGATATTAAAAACTGTGCCATATAGTCTTGACGCATTTCTGCCAACCTGCTAGCCTTTTCCAATTTGTCAAAATTGCCAGTAACGACATATAAGAAGATTAATTTGTTCAGGTCTTTGGAACGTTGATAAGCAAGTTCCGCAATGGAGACATTTCCTTGAGCCAATGCTTCTTCACCCAGTTTGCGCCATATTTCAAAAGTATCCAAAGATTGTGCAGCATCCACAGCAACTTGTAATAAACCAGCTTCCAGTGCTAAATGAAAACGAGTCTTATCATCTCGAACAAATTCCAAAGCCACTTCAGGAAATCCTTTGCGACATAAATAAGAAATCATGGCTTGACCATCAAAACGATTTTCTGCTATCAAATACTGCACCTAAACACATGTTAGTTCACTTCTTCCATTATCAACTATATCCTTACTTCATCATATTTTTTGCGTAATAACAACAATTTGAATGCATATTCGGTAGGATCCACTGCAAGGACTCCTGGATTTCCCTCTCTATCCAAATAAGCAACAGCTGGTCCTCTTGCACGAGTCAAATATATCAAATTATCTAAAGTACGCACAATTCCAGTATCTCCATTTGGCAAACAATACTTCAAATGATTAAGAGTGGTATATAATAAAACTCCCGAATCATCCCACACCGCACTTTTCACTCTTACTGTTTCGTGAACAACTGCCAAATGTTCCAACTTTCCTGATGCCAAAGTTATTGAATGCTTACTCAATAATGCCACTCTATTCATATGTTCATTCCATACGACATATTTCACATGAGCAGAAGCAAGTTCTTTCAATATCTTCCTTTGAGTCATATCAAATAGAACAACAACTTCTCCGTTACTTATAAGAATAGTACCGGGACGAGAAGGAAATACAAGTTCAGCTCCAGGAATAGGACAAGCAATAGTTTTTGTTATTTCATTACGAAGGTCACGAACTTGCAACTGTTCTCCAGTAGATAAAGTTGCAAATCGGTTTCTTCCTACAAACACTGCAACACCAAAGCCATGAATAGTTTCTGAACTAGTCGAACGTCCTTTTTTTCCTAGAAAGTATAGAGAATATTTAGGAGAGTCTCTATCATGTGTCAATAATATACAATTTTCGAAAGTATTGACATGCATATATCGAGGTGGAGGCTCATAAATGGGACCTCGAACTTCAGAACCGATCGTATATTCCGAACTGGAATATAACAACGACATAATGTCAGGTTTCACATATAATTGATATAGAGACTGATCACTTCCTTGTTCCAAATCAAACAGTCGAACATCTCCTTCTTTTACATAATATAAATCTTTCCCAACGCTATAAAAAGGAGGTCTCTCTCTATCCAACTTGAATACAATCATTCCAGAATCATGTCCTGCAGCAATCAGATTGAGTTTGGGATGCACTGCCAGAATCCAAAACCTATCATTTTCTCTTCGATAGGTTTGTAAGCAAGTATGGCGAATGGGATCCCAGACTCTTATTGTGCGATCTTCTGAATTAGAGACAATAAGATTGGTACTAGGATGAAACATAACACAAGATACATTGTTCAGGTGGCCATAAAAAGTTTGTATTTCTCTCGTCCGTCCATTTTCCAAATATGTCAACTTTACTTGGCGATCATCTCCTCCACTTACAACGAGAGGAATAGTTGGATGGAAACTTGCCCAATTGACGCCACGAAAATGACTTTCGATAACATTTCTTACAAAAGCCTCGTTGGAAGAAAATATATCGGCAGCGAAGTTATCTTTGGAAGAAAAAGAAGATGTTGGTGAACGATTGCGTAAGCCAGATATGTCCCAAACACGTATAGTCTGATCCAAAGAAGCTGAGAGTAGTAGATCCTCGTCGGGATGGAACATGGCAGACATAACATAGTGATTATGACCTGTAAGTACCGCAATACAAGAACGATTCTGCCAATTCCAAATGCGAATGGTTTGGTCATCAGACGCAGAGACAATCCAACTAGCTCAAGTTGAGCAACGAGTTTATTTAGTACAGTTGGAATACTTACGGACTCTCGTGGTGGAAGAAAACCGTTCGAATGTAGTCCAAATGGCCCAACAAGGTAAATAAACAGCGTCTAAGTTTATAATTCCACACTTTGATTTTGTAGTCATCTCCTCCACTGACAAATAAAGGTTGCGACGGGTGAAAATGGACACCCCTTACTGGACCTAAATAGTAAAGGTCAAATAACATACGTTTAAATTATTAAACCTAGAGACACCTTCATGTTCTTCAAATCTATCCAACAAAGTTCCCATTCTGTAATCCCATAACTGAATCACTCCGTTGTGAAGACTTGCAAGAATCCAAGGCCTAGCGGGATGAAAAGAAAGACCCTTTACTCGATTGCTTTTGGTTTCAAATTTGGTCAACATTATTGGAAAGCAACTGTATCACTAAAGTACCAAGAATTTCCACTACAGAATGCCACCAGCTTTACCAAGGTGGAAACAACAAACCACACTCGGTATTTTCAAGAAATCCCAAGAAATATTTATACGATTGGGGAGAGAAGAGCCAATCCGTAAAGGTCATCATAATTGTACAATGTAGTAAAAGGCAACCTATCCATCTCTTGAAGCCATTCTACGGTTAGCAATTTGTATCATCTTGTTTTGCAGAAACTCCAAAGTTTGTATCGTAGCTTTCACCACAGCATCAAAAGTTTCATCACTGCTCCCAGTTCGATCCCATACACGACCAATCAACTCTGCATTACAGGATAGCCAAGAAGGAGAATTTTCATATTGAACATTGCTCCTTATTTTTTCAGAAAGAACATCTGATGGAGTAACCTTTTGAACATCGACGAGATGATTATTTGACCCATCTTGAGAAAAACTGGAGATGGTCACCCCACTTCGTCCTCCAACTGGAAAAGCTAAACCACCTTCTATGCCTCCACTCAAGACAAATACTTGAAAAAACTGTTGTGCTGTTCCAATTCGTATCATTTTATCTATGTAATTGGAGTGAAAAGCACTAGTTAACAGTGCATCCGCATCGATATAATTGATAGCTCTAATTTCTTCTTTGTAAATATATACACTTGGAACCAAGTACGTGAAACTTACTTTTCTACTGTAGCTAAACAAGGCCTTTTGATAATAGTTCGACGTAAATAAGTCAATCTTGACAGAGCAGGGCAAATATCTTCAAGGTCCATATATAAGACACGAGGAGAAGTTTGCATTTGAAACATTTCTTCGAGATGCTTTCGACTGGATATTCTTGGAATACGAGCTTCTCCTAATTTCTCTACCAGCATTTTCAAATTAACTCCGTACTGAATAGAGCGCACGAAGGACTAAGTAACTACATTTTGACTAGAATCATATTGGTCACGTACCTTGGGACCACTTGTATCGGAGCCTATCAGAACTGTCCATATACCATATTGCTCCGTAATATATTTCGCTATTAATGGAGTTACCATGGGAGACTTGACTACACCATCAAAAGGTTCTGTTATTTGTAATACTGGAATCGGACGCCTTATTTGCACCGAAACATTGCTCTTCCATAAAGTGTTCAATGTCTTTTGACAAGCAGTAGCAAAGCCTATTAATTCCTCCGAAGTTTCATGTCTTACTCGCATAATATGGAGAATCATAGCAGATAAGGTTGCATCTGTTAGTGTTTTACACTCTAATATAAACTCTCCCAACTGTTCTGCTTCCAGTGTACTCAAGTGGTCACCTTGCAGTAACTTGAGAACATGTTCCGTTAAATGACATTCTTCTAATCTTTGAAAACTGTTTGGATGCACAGCTAAAAGTAAAGAAGCTTCAGAACAGGGCTTCTTTGTAGAAGCGATGCCAAGTTCATATTTTCTAAGAATTTCCTGTTCGTCAAGATTCCAGTTGGGTTTTAAATATAGTGATCCCAGAAAAGCAGCTCTTTGTAACACTTGCTGTTGATATAAACTGTTCTCTTCAGGAGAGTTGTTCCAATTTCTCATCTGCTTTTCAATCTGTTCTAGTTCTTCAAGTATTCTATTCGCTAATGACTTGTTGAGGGATTTTGCACCATATTTTCCTATTGCTACTTGTCGAATTCCTTCAACCAGTGCTGAATCAGTTGGAACTGCTGCAGTTTCAAGCAAAGAATAGTTGTTCGAATCCTTTCCATTAGTGGTTTGCATATATGGACTGAGAGTCTCCACCTGCCTGTCATAATAACGTCGTTTGGTGAAATAAAGAAGAGACAAACTGTAGCGACTAGGATTCCAAAAGTGTCCAGATAAACTTGCTACAGTAACACATCTTTGACAAAAACCTTTTTTTGCAACATTTCCGAAACTTGTGCCACTCAAAAAACAATCCAGTCTCTTTTTTGGCGCCATAATTATCCGTAGAAAAATGTTATCCAGTCGGTCTCCTCACTTAAAATCAGTTGTCCTACAAAATGTGTCTAATCAATCGAATATTTATTTCTGTACATAAAAGACTCTAAGCATTATCAACAGGAGGAGCTGAAGCCATCAAATACGGATTAGAAGAGGGATAATAATCCACACAAGTCAAGGTTGCCTTTGGAATATCCTCTGCTCCATAATAGGATGAATACAATCCTTCCATTGGATATGGCTGCCCATCTGCAGTGTAACTATTCCCTCCTTGGAATACAAAAGAACTATCCTTTGGAGGTTCATCCAAATTTGGATAAAGAGTTGGACTGACAGGAACTGACAGCTTATCGGCATTTAAGCTCTGGGAGGACTTTCTCCGACTCACTACGCCTGGAGACCCTGGAGGAGTTACTGGTGTCAACGAAAGATGAGGAGGAGCTTCTAGTTGTATTGCTACAAAAACCTTTCCAGAAGGTTGTCCCGCACGTTTGGTACCAGCAGGATATTTTGTCTCGTGCCAACCAGAATAGCACATGTTCGGAGCTCTTGCGACGTCCTCTAAAGATACAACAAACTTTCCAATTACTTTATCCTCTTTTAAAGCTCGTGTTTTCCAAAGGTCAAAAACCAAGTGAAACACTGGTAAAGAACTATATTTGCAATTGAGTTTTTCCTTGACAAGCCATATATAGGGTTACTTACAAACTGAAACCTTCATGAAATCCCAAGTCTTGTCCAGTATTTGTCTTCCTGTTGGTAAAGACGTCTAACCTAACCGTATCATTCTTGCCATCTCCTTTCTCTCCCTTGGCTGTTCCTTTAGGCGCTCCAGCCATCAAGGGTATCAGCCTTGTTCGTACGTAAACGTCTTGTGAAACAAGTCCCTTGCGTACATTTCTTACTTCCAATACTATGAGTGAAGATTAGTTCTTGTTTTCAGTCCCTGTTTTCGAGTCTTACTTTGAAAATGAACACTACGAAAACCCACAGTGGACGTCATATGCAGAGAAAAATGCTGACTTGTCTAAATCTCCAAATCGCATTTGAGAATGTCTCTGATAAGAGAATGTCTTTATTCTGATCCCGAACAAGACCAACAGTGTTTCTTTAGGTCGATACAAAAACCAATCACTACTTAGCTTTACTCCTCTTGTACTATTTCTAAACGACTTCTTCCAGTTACTGGGTCAGTTACTAAACGAACCTGGCCACCTCCTGAAATGTTGGCTGTACCGTTGTTGGAAGAAGAACTTGGAGCGGGAGTTTTCGGTTTAGAAGACTGCTGTTTGTTTGGAACTGTTTTATTCGGTTCCCTTTGAGCAGACACTCCAGAACTCTCGAGTCCCGGAACTGGTTTGGCAAAGTCGCTTTCTATAACTTCATTCAAATATGCTTCTCCTCCAGGAAAGCCACCACACCAAAAATCTTTCCAAAATTCTACAGGGGAAGTAAGAAAAACAAACACTATTGCTATAGAGAAAATCATACTCAAGTTATCAGCTCCCATACGCACAAGGTGAAAGCACTTTTGTTTGGGTCTCCGACAGGTTGACAAGTCTACTCGTCTTATACTTGATAGAAATGGGGCGTGACTACAAGGAGTAAATGAGGAAACAAATAAAGTCTTTTCCATATTTTGATATGTCATCTTTTGTAACTAAAGTTCACAAGATCAACAACTGAAAGGAAGGAGGATGCAAATGGAGCTCAACCAATCAATCAATGGCAGAAAAGGTATTCTTATATGGAATGAGATTTGGCCAGAGTCTTCCTCCTTTTATGTTGTTTGTACGTTCCTGTGGAATATCTACTTGCTCTGTCTTGTCTCAACGTAACGGAGATGCACTTAAAAAGTGTCCAAAGTGTTGTAGGAAACAATACTATTTATTGGATAATAGGTTTCGACGGAATACGAGACAATGGCTAGGAAAGAGATTGTGCAAGTTACAAGGAATGTCCATTCAAACTCGTCTTTCAACGAGGATAAATATGTGTATGAGTGATTGGCAGAAACAAGTATTGGAGTTGTTGAAGAATATTGAGGATCCAGACTTGAAACAGAATATTGTAGAGCTTGGATTTGTTCAGAACTTGGAAAGAGTTGCCAAGGAAGATGGAAAATACGACGTTCGGTTCACTTTACAGTTGACTACTCCTGCTTGTCCAATTAAAGAAAAGTTTCAAAACGATGCCAAAGAATGGGTCTCGTCGTTGTTATGGGTACGCAACGTTGAGATTGACTTGCGAGCAAACGAGATCAATCGAGCACAAGCTGGAGATCGACCGTTGAATAAAGTAAAACATATTATTGCTGTTGCAAGTTGTAAAGGTGGTGTTGGAAAGAGTACTGTCGCAGTAAACTTAGCCTTTACTTTAACCAAGTTGGGTGGTAAAGTTGGTATCATGGACGCAGATATTTATGGACCCAGTTTACCTATTTTAGTAAGTTGAGTATGAGAGAATACTCGGGTATGGTTTCTAAAACGTTGGTTTTTTATATTTAGGTACAACCTGAGAATAAGATTGTACAGTATAAAGATGGGAGAATTATTCCTCTGGAATATGAGAATGTGAAACTTATGTCTTTTGGGTATATGAATACTTTCCAAGAATGAGTTTTTTGTGATTGACTGCAAATAGATATATTAATCCTGAATCAGCCATCATGAGGGGACCTATGATAGCGAATATGATGAATCAGCTATTAACAGAGACCGACTGGGGAAGTTTGGACTATTTGGTGATCGATATGCCACCGGGTATATGAGTCTTATTTTGATTTATTTTTCATAATGACTCGTGTTATTTTAGGAACGGGTGACATTCAGTTAACCATTTGTCAAACAGTTTCGTTAGACGCTGCAGTTATTGTAACCACACCTCAACAGCTTTCATTTCAAGATGTTATCAAAGGTATTCAAATGTTTGGTAAAGTATCCGTTCCTTGTGTAGCTTTGGTGGAAAATATGGCATATTTCGAACCTAATGATATTCCTGACAAACGATATTATCTATTTGGTCATGGAAAAAGGTAAATATGGAAGAAGAGCTTGTAAGTTTGATGTGCATTGAACTTATGTGGTTTAGTCAAAAAATTGCCAATGACTATGGGATACCATTTGTGGAATCCTTTCCACTTGACCCCGATTTATGTCGTTGGAGTGATAATGGCATTCCTGCTGTATTGGCCTTGAGCGAATCAAAGATATCCCAACTTTATCAATCTTTGGCATCTGCTGTAGTACAACAAATTGCAAAAAATGCATTTGGAAACGGGAAAAGAATTCCACAAGTTTTTTTTGATAGCGATAAGGTATTCATTTATGTAACAGTGTCCCAAATTATAGTAGACTGAAATAGTTTAATTGTTATTTAGTGTATTATTGTTATTTCTTGCAACGATCAACAAGGCATAGCTTGGAATGAAAACAACAAGGTGGAATGGTCACCATGGGAACTAAGGAATGCTTGTAGTTGTGCCTCGTGTGTCGATGAGTTTACTGGAAAAAGACATTGGAAATCTGTAGATAGAAATGTAAAGCCAGTAAGTGTAATGATATTCAAGTATATCCAGTATGGTCTCAATTGAGTTGAAGTTGCAAATTCAAACTGCTGGAAATTATGCCTTTTCAGTTATCTGGAGTGATGGTCATCAAAGTTTATATCCATTCGAGCGAGTCATGAATCCAAAAGATTGGTCTACAACTACTGCTGTCAAAAGAGCCTCGACGATTTAAAACACAATCCAGAAAATTTCGCGTCCAGCAGGACTCGAACCTGCAATCTTCCGCTCCGTAGGCGGACGCCTTATCCAATTTGGCCATGGACGCTAATTCATGGCAAGTTGAAATTTTTTTGCTTTAGAGTAATAAAGGCCTGATTTTAAACCTTCCCATTGTTTTTTGCCCGCCATGAAATCAAAAATGAATACAATCGAATTGGACACGTTCGTGGAAGAGTAGATTGTTGGATTAGCCATTGCTCCCTTTTAGTTTTTATATTTGGATATGGTTACATATTCTTTGTCTTAACCAACACAACCTGAGTTGGCCAAACATATAGGGAATATATATCTTTATGATGTCTACCTTGGCACCAACAAGACAACTCAGTCGATTGAAGCACAACAGTAGCACCAGTTCATTTCAGTCGCTAGGAAAAAATGGAAAGAAAAAACTAGTTGCCATTCCAAAAAACGCTCAAGAACTGATAAAACTATTGGAAACTTTATGTGGACAACTTGACAGTCATCAAGAGTGGGAAAAGCGAGTAGATGCGTTGAAAACCTTGTCTTTAGTTGCAAACGAATTGTTCCAAGCAAAAGAAGAAGACAACACGAATACAGAAGATAATCGTGCCTTGTTTGATATATTTATTGAAAATCTTCGAACTCTTCGTTTGGTGATGAATGATGCTGTAACCGACTTGCGTTCAGCAGTAGTGCGCGAAGCCTGTCAAAGTTTAGTTGAATTGGCGAAAATGGCAAAAGGTGCTATAGCTGAACCGTTGGCAGAGTCCTTATTAGCTCCTTTGGTAAAGATAACTCCAGTTACAATAGCCATTATTGCAGAGTCTGGAGCTAGTGCTGCAAAAGCTCTAGTAGAATATGTCCAAAGCATTCGAATGGTCAGAGCTACTGCAGACGTACTGAATATTCATGGTTTGGCTCCAGCTGCTAGAAATGTTGTGGCCGAACTTGTTTGGCTTTCACTGCAGCATCAGAAACCAACTGATATTGAAAAGTGTGTAGAATCCTTTGAAAAAGCAATCCATTCCGGAGTACAAGATGCATCAGCGAATGTTCGATCCACTAGTCGAAAGAATTTCTGGTTATTTGCCAAGTTGTTTCCTAATAGAGCCCAAACGATGGTAAAATCCTTAGATTCTGGAGTTTTGAAGTCGATTGGTGAAGAGAAACCAAAAGATGCTCCCTTTATTCAATTGGTGTTTTTAGATGACGGCAATCAAAGTATTTCTTCTCATTCAATGTTGCACAAACCTCGCAAGTCTATTTCATCTTTTAATTCGGTTGGAAAACAACAAACGATAAGTCTACAAAACGATTCCACCGAACAAGCCTCTTCTACTTCTTCTACCGGTCACAGTACAGATACTACCAAAAGTGAAAAGAAAAGAATGGATTCTAAACGTTATAAGAGGATAGGTGAAATTTCTACTCCTACAAAGTCCATATCGAATTTATCTGGAAACAAAATCAAACAACTAGGAAGACATAGTCGTCCTCCTTCATTGAGTTTTTCTCCTCTTCCGGACACTCCTACTACAAATTCACAAGACGATATTACTAGAGAGACCATTCAGAGCAATCGTTCTTCTTCAATAACTCAAAAAAACTCAACGAAAAAGTCTTCATCGATGCGAAAATCCGATATCGGAAAGCTTCCTCAACGCGTTGCCATATCCAATGAGAACACAGCTTCTATTACTGATGTTCAAAGTGATTCATCGCATAGTACTATTTGTGATGATTTAAAGAGAAACAAAACTATCGCAGAAGATAATTATAAAGCTTCCATTGTACCTTCTGTGACTAGTGAAACTGGTCGACAGGTATTGTCTCATATGGATGTTCGATATTCTGGTGCTACTTCAGAGACTACGATGGATAGCATATGGACCAGGAGAAAAGTAACAGAATCTGATTTAAGAAAACTATTTGGTAGAATTGTGGCAGCTACAGATTGGAAAGTCAAGGTCAATATTCTTGCCAGAATTGAACGAGATATTGCTTTGTATTTGGCAACCAAACGAGAACGTAAGAATCAAGCGTCTCATCCGGAGACATTCTTGGAAGACGAAAGCTTATTCACAGAAAATACTTTGCAGTTATTATTGCAGTATTTAAGTCCATTGGTTGGAGAGTCGCATACCAAAGTAGCAGCAGCAGCTCTTCAATTGTTATCCAAAGTATTCCAAACATTTGAACAAAGCCCAATAGATTATCCCAACAAAGAACAACAAAAACTTGTACAAATTCTTGAGAAGGAAGGAACGCTCATTCGAAGGTTATTCCAAAGACTTTCGGACCCCAACTCTTTTGTGCGCAGTAGTAGTGCTACAACTATTGAAGATTTAGGAAAAGCGATTCCTTGGATTCAATTAAGAAGTAGTATTATTTGCAAGAGTTGTTTAGCTCCTATTGCTTCTAGTGGTTCCAATTTGGATTCTTCACCAAGAGTAATGCTTCATGCATTGTTGCACTTGAGACATTCTTATCGAAATTGCAAAGAATATCGCAAACAAACAGAACAACCGAATTTATTAGAGAGTGAATCATTATACAAGACTACCACTTCCATTTCCATGACTGGCAATATTGCTGAACCTGGTTCTTCACCTGTCAATCGATTATCTACAAGTGCTGATGTAGCAGAATTTGTTCAATTGATTATAAGTTATATTGCTCCTTTAGCTTATGATAAGAATGCCGATCTACGTAAAGCAGCTTGTGATGTCCTTGTAGAACTTGATGAACTAATCGATCCTGCCACCCTATTAGTTGGAGCAACTTCAGTAGAAGATGGTAAACATCTCAATTTGATACGCAAGTTAGGATTGTTGGATTCGAAGAACGAAATGCCCACTTCTCAATCTTCCTCCATAACAGATAACTTGGCGTCTAATCCAACTCCAGATGAGTCTTACAAGAAGAATGAAAGTAAAGAAGATTCTTTTGAGCATTCTTCTGTTGATGTCAATCGTGAAGTGGATAGCCAAACTGGACATGTAGGAAATTTACATCCGCAATTTCAGGATATGTCGATATCCAAAGAGTCTGTGACTGAAAAAGTTGAAGAAGAAGAATATACTGCCAGTCTTATTTGTCAATTATTACAAAAGGCTCAAGAAAGTGCGAGTGAAAAAGATAGGTTTGGTTATTTGTCTCAAATTCGAGATGCTTTAAGAAATCCTTCATATTGTCTCGATATATCTCAAGTGAAGCAAATTTTAGGAATGTTTTTGCCTGTTCATTCCTTTAAGAATGCTTCGAACGATACCCATTGGAAAGGTTCTTCTACTTGTTTTCAGACGATGAAAGAAGGAATTGAAATGGAGTGGATGTTAGAGATTTTGTTGCGAGAATTGTGGAAACAAAGTCCTCCACTTGTATTATTAAATGTATTGGAATTTTATATTCAAGACTGGATTACAACAAATGGCAGTCTTCGAGATGCTTCTTCTACGACATCCGTTGCTACTATACAAGTTCTTTTACAAGGTACAGAGTCATTGCTAAAAGTATTTTTTGAAAGTCAATTGGAGTTGGATGAAGTGAATGAAAATCGATGGAATCGAATCATTACTTTTCTATTACAATGTGTTGAACATCCTCATTTAGATATTCGCAAGTCTGCAGTGAAATGTTTAGCTGAAATTCAACTTCACATAGGCGAATTGAAAAGTACAAGTCCATCATTGAATATTACACAAAGAAAGTTGGTGGAATGTTATATTGAAATATCCAATAAGAAGATTCCTTTCTAGTCGAGATTCTTTGTGTATTCTTCCTTTCTGGAGTGCAAATGGAAACCATTTCAGTATGTGATGCAGTTGGTAGAAAACGTTTATTGTATCGTGTGAGTAAAGAAAGATGGTTACTTTTAGAAACTTTGATATTTGTTCCTTTTTTACCTCAAGACAATGTTTATTTGGAAAGGTTGGTTATCACTATTCTCATAACCTTGAGTTACCTGATTGTGTGTCGATAGTGTCGAAGAAACTGTAACGAAACTGGATAGTGAAACTGCTTGTGATTGGAACAGAAGACAATGTCAACAGTTGATGAGTTATTCTTTGGATTGGTTTTGGTGTCATTTGCTATACAACCAAAGTTTACAACGTTTTCTTTCGGATTATTGTCGCTTTCGTCTACCTTATTATGACTCTCCTCAAGCTGGCTATTGTTGGTTGGATAAGCTGGTATATGATATATTTTATCGTGCTTCTAGTCCTCACGATTGTCTTTCGGATGCCGTTGTAGACGTTTCTACTGTCTTTTATCCTTTTTGGGATGGCCAAGTTTCACAACTCGTAAATCTATCGTTGATATGGGATTGGTTTGGTATATTTCCCGGAGTTGTTAGACATCTCGTTTCAAGACTAGTTCACTTTTATCCCATTCATATACAAAAGGAATGGTGGTATGGTCCTTGTTTGGAGGCTTGGTCAGTTGCTTGTGATGCTGTGGAATCCAATCCATCCTATGTTTTACATATTTTGGATGCTTTGAGAGGAATCTATTGTTATATGTTACAAGACTGGATAAGGTATTGTTTGATGAATAATAAGGAGGAAAGAGATGAAGCTATGGACATATTGTTATCGATGATAGATCATTTGTGGCAACGTATATGGAATACTATTCCGACGTTTCCTTGTATAACAAAGGTGATTGGTTGTTTATTTTCCATAGTTGCTAATCATCACACAAGTCGAGTTGAATGGGAACAAAGAAAACCCAACTTGTCTAAAGAAATGGGTTATGAATGGTTTTTACAAGAAAATATTGAATTGTTGAAAGAGTAAAAAATGTGGAAAGCTGTACTTTCCGACTTGAATGACTTGGAACGTCCTATTCATTGTAAACCTACAACTAACGACTACTCTTCTTCTTCTTCTCCTCCTACAGGTTCTGTTGCGAGTCCTTTATATGCCACTTCTAATAACAACAACAACCACTCTTCTCCAGTTGTTGCTCGTGTACCTTTACAAGATTGTTTATCATGTACAGGTTGTCTTACTTTGGCTGAAGAACAATTATCTATTCAGAGTAGATATCAAGTAATACAACTTTGTGATAGTTGGTTGGAACAAGGACAACAAGTCGTGTTTTCCTTGCAACCACAAACCATAGCTGCTATAGCTGTACACTTGGGTGGTTTAGATTATACTCAAGTGGCACAAAAAATAGCCTATGCTTGTAAACAAAAGGGTGTTGGTTGGGTAACTGATCAAAAAGAAGCAAGATATCTTAGTTTATTGGAAACATGGGAAGAACTCATACAACGATATGAAAAGGAGAAGAATCGATTGCCGTTGATTATTTCAGCTTGTCCTGCTTGGGTTTCTTTTATGAAAAGAAAACGACCAGAATGGATGGATTGTTTATCGCAGGTGTATAGTCCAGCGCTGATGACGGGATATTTATGGAAAAAGAGAAAACCAAATATCAAACATGTGGCTATTATGTCTTGTTATGAAATGGCAGTACAGACACAAACACAAGCTGTGGAATATCCTAATGGCATATTGGTGGATGCTTTATGGACAACTGAACAATTGATGCAATGGTTGGATTGGAATCATGGAGATGATATCGATTCCATTCCATCAACTCCATTGGATACTACTTGGATATCGTTGGAAAGAGATTTGTGTAAAGGTACAAGTCACGGATATTTTTGGATGGCAGTAGAGAGATGGATAGATAAAGTGACCATCGAACAAAATGGACAACCACCTCAAGTAGAATGGATGACAAAACCTGAACAAAGAGATCATCAACAACAAGTTTATATTCAATGGAAGTCGAGTCAAGATGGAACGATGAAAAGAGTGGGTATGATTTTGGCATATGGTTATCAATCTTTGCAACGTTGGGTGAAGCGTGGATTGGATTCCGATATCATTCTTTTGGAAGCAATGGCCTGTCCTCATGGCTGTGTCAATGGAAGTGGACAATTGTTGACCCATCAAACAAAAACTCCTAAAGAACAACGACAATATTTACAATCCATAGTAGACCTTATGGGAACCAATGGAATCATGAATGAGTCAAGATGGAAGAATAGTTGTAGTTGTTGGGATGAACAAAGTCAAGCTCATATGAATCATTATCAAAGCTTCACTTTTCAACCATACCCATCTATTACTACTAGTAGGGATGAGTTTTCTTGTCCTCCAAGACTTTATTGGAATACCCACAAGGAAGAAGTTTTGGATGCCTTATCGCCGCCACCATGTTGTTTCCGCCACTGGGCTTCGTTTGGTGGATGGTGATGGGGGCTCCTTTCACGATAGTCTTCCAATTTCCTATGGACATCGACAATGGAACGATCCAATTCTTTGACAATCTTTTCTTGTTGTTCCAATGAGAGTCGATAGAATTCTTCACAAAGGTCACCATCGATGACATGTCGAACGGGAAAGAAATAAGAACGATAAGCCAAATGATGTCTTCCACATAAAGGAGAACGATATTCACGCAATTGCAGTTCTAAAGCTTGAAATAATTCCATATCCAAAGTAGAACGTAAAGGAATCATTACTCCTATAGCTCCATCCAATGTACCATAAAATAATAAAGGCACATCTCCTGTGGTCCATTCCACTTTAGATAAGCATTGAATGACACTTCCAACATAATAACAAGCTTCCAATTGAAAATGATGAGGTGCTTCTTTAGATAATAAACCTCCAGTTGGATCTTGTTCTATAAAGGTTCCAGCTTCTGGTGGTAGTCTTAGGATACTAATGTTACCCATTTTATCTCCAATAGCTACCGTATCATAATCCAATAAACACATAGTTGTACACCATTTGGGTAAATAATCATCCGCTATACATAAAAATAGATTATCAGCTGCCGAATAACGATAAAGAAATACACTTTCTTGTACATCGCTTAAGAATATACGATCATAACAAGTTTCTATACAAGTTATTTTATGAGGAGTAGCTCTAGGATGTTGAGTCTTTTTTAACAATTGTTTCTTTCCCAAGTCATACATTCTAAGACTGGTACCCACAGCTACCAATAGATGACCTTGAAAAGATGCCATAGTTGTGATGATTTCATTTCGATAACGTGAAGCTGCATGAAAAGATAAATGAGAAGCTCCATAATCATAATTCCATTCCATTCTATGAGAAGAAGCATCCTGAATAGGAGTTGTATGAATATATTCCCATTGAGTTTCATTCCATCGATAGACTCGAATTTCACTGCGTGGAAATACAATCGACTCTCTTTGAATATCGATATTATCTTTGGTAGGATTCTTCTCCAATGGATTGGTAACTTGCAAGGCATAATCCATAACAACACCAACACACAAATATAAACTACTCGAATCATGAGAAAAACGAATACAACATATGCTACTTATGTATTCTTTGGTTTCTGAATTGTATATTTCACATTTCTGTTGCCAACGACAACTGGTAGACTCAACTGGGTCTTCATGATTAGGAAATTGGTTATCCATAAAAGTCATTTGTTGAATAGCACAACTCCAACTTCCAATAGGACCTAATGGATATCCTGTTTGACGTAATGAGCTAGAATGGGATACAATGTCTTGAGGAGAAATAACAATCTGTTGATCACATTCCAATGTTAATATTCTATTCCTCGTATAGTTTGTTATAGAAGAAGATAGAATATCTTCCCTATCGACTAGTCTTCGTGGAGTATATAAACTGGGTTGTGTATCGCTATGAAATAAATGAGTGGTTTGAAACAAGTCTCTGTCTTCTTCAAAGGATAAAATACACAATGAAGAGCCACAACAAGCAATCACTCCATCTGGACATTGTTCAGAACAAAAACCTACCACATGATCGAATACCCAGTCATAACCAATCGGTAAAGTTTGTAACAATAAATGATTGTCTAAATATACCAAATAGGAACGTGAAGAAACTACCAAAGCAACTGGCTTTCCTTGAATTTCAATTCGTTGTAATCGAACGGGTTGAGTACCCACAAGACGACTTTGTTGTTCACTCAAGGCTCCCGTAATGGGGTCCACCAAGGCTCTTATATAAATACCGGAATGAGAACCAATCAATAACACAAGTTCACTTCTCGATGACGCTGGGGCACTTAACCCAATCAACAATACCGAATTGGCAACCGTATCCAAAGCTTGTAAAGAAATAGGTTTCAAACAAGATTCCTTTTTCAAAGAATACAAGCGGGTATAATAAGAAATTCCATCACTAACGGCAACAAATGAAGCTTTGGATTGTCCAGCAACTAAAGGAGCAATAGAAACACAAGGTAAGAAAGATGAAGACTCATACGATTGATCTTGAATAAGCTCCACTTCCTGAATTTCAGTCAACATTCCTGTTTCATCCAATTCAAAGTATAACAACTGTTTGCTATTCAAAATGATGACCAACTGAGAAGCATTTCCATCTGCCACTTGAATAAACAATCCTTTTGGTGGTTTCCATTCATGAACGGTTTGTAAATCAGGTCGAATATGTCGAATGCCTTGTGCATGTACTTGAACAATAGAATTATTTGAAAATAATTGCACAAAAATGGTAGAGACAAAAGTAGAAAAGCCACTATCCGAAACTTCCTCTACAGTTTCTCCTACTGAGAGTACTAACGATGCATTTACAAACGAAACAATAATATAAGAATCATACGAGTCTTGTTGTTGTTCTCGTACAGTAAACACTCCAACAGGATATCCTGGAAGTTCAGAAACTGCCATTTCGGTCCAACGATAGCCGAGACGCAAAGTTTTCCAAGAACCTCGATGACGTCTACCACTTCCTACAACAATTTGTGGAGATCCTTCTCCATAGAAATCTCCAATTTGCCAACAAGTTAAAGGAGCCAAAGATTCTATTTCTTCAATCAATAACAAATTTTCCAAATTGTTATGAAGAGAGAAATAAACAGGCTCATTTGACCATTTGGAATCCTCTACTCCAACACAACAAAAGTCTTGTTCTCTTCCAAGACTTCGAAACTGATAAAATCCATGATTGCCATATTCCGAAGCAACAAATAAAAATCCATTTCTTAAAATACACATATCATTCACAGGACAAGGTAAACTATCCAAATAACGAATTCTCATTTCTTTCATAACAATATCGGAACCTTCTTCTTCTTCTTCTATTGTAGTACAGTCCATTTCCAACTTGAACAAATCACCCAATTCAGTACACAACAAATAAAAGAATAAACCTTTTTGTCGATGCAGAGCAAAAGCTACCACCAAGTTACCTCTTTCAGTTGGTGAAATATTCTTTTCTCTTAATGGAATAGAACAGATATAATCGGGTAAATTATTTTGTAGAGTCTTATAACGTATATGTTGAAGACTACAGACTATAACACCACCAGGACCATCCCTACCACCTGGAACAGGAAGAACCTTGTAGGCATCAGCTTCCACAGGAGTAGCCAATTTACGTACAACGTGATTCAATCCCAAGTCCAATTCATAGAAAACCAAAGTTTTTGGACTTTCTGGAGGGTCATAGGCTCTTTCTAAGGCAGCAAAAATGGGGTTCTCAAAACCGACATCCAAACCAATTATGTCATTGCAAATAAACGAAGACTTGTGAGCTTCCAAAGGGGATGATATTGTCAAATTCTCTAAAGCATCTCTATTAAATACGTAGACAAACTTTTGCTTTTCGATAGCGCCAATCATACAAGCTCGTCCTTTAGGGTCAGTAGCTAGATATTCTCCAGGTACGATTCTCCTACATCCAGACTTTCCAAAAGTTTCGATATGAACTCTTTCAAAGCAATAAGTGGAAGGATTGTATAAAAGTACCGTAATTTTCCCAGAGTCACTACCGATCAATAGATAGTCTCTCTTGGCGCCAGTTAAACGAAATGCTTTAAGAGAGCGAATGATACCGTATATTTCTTGGAAACATAAGCTTTTCAAGTGTCCTATTCTATTCCTTTACTTGAGTCGTTATTATGATAGTATGATAATACCTTGCTCATCGGGCCTCACCAACTCCAACGAGGTTTGACGACCAAGAACCAACTCAATAGCTCTCGGTGCAGAGAAACTACCGTGTACAGAGAAATAGATAGCAGAAGGTCTTTGTAACGTTAGATTGTATAAAAACATAATAACAGATAGAATATTCTTCTAGTCTGAGTTCATCAACCCAAAGAAAAGAACCAAAAATGGGATTCCTCATATCCATTTCATTTCTTCTTCTTCTTCTTCTTATTTATGTTATGAAAGTAAAATATTTTCTTTTAGAGTTTGTCAAAAGGACATGTGAGACCGATATTGAAATATTTGGTTGGAGAAAAGAACATTTCATTTTGAATCATATAATGAAGAGTTACGAGGATAGAGATGAAACTATGTCTTGTACGGAAGTTTCTCAACCTAATAATAGTATGAATATAAGCGATTCTTATAAAAGACACCATAAGAAAACTGGTATAGGATGTTATCATCATTCACCCTTTATTCAACAACGTGTAGAGCCCTCTCTCACATCAAACCATAGTTGTGATATATGGGAAGAAGAAAAGAATAGTCCGTGGCTTTATAGTACAGAACAATTGACGTATTCTTCCGTTTTATTTCAAAGGCGTTTATCTCAACAATGGATGAACTCGTCAACTCCTCCTCCTCCTCCTCCTTCTCCTTCCTTATCTTGTCCCCATCCAACTATTCAACTAGTAAACAAAAAAACTCCTTGTACTTATCAAATGAGTTATCTTATTGTATACATGGCAAGTATACTCTTGGGTTGTTTTACAATTGATTAAACTTTATTAGTGTGCAAGTGCAACTTTATTGGCAACAGGTATTTGGTGTTGGGTAACATTACCTTCTTCCAAGTTGTTAGAGTTGAAATGGAATACTCTTTATACTCTCCTGTTACGGCACAGCAATATAGTTGCCATCGTCATGGGAGGTTTTCTATTGTTGTGGATATTTGTTATGGGAATGTGGTTAGCTAACAAAAGTTATAAGCTTTGGGTGAAGATAAGTTATTGGATATGGTTATTTTTTACTTGTTGTTTAACTACGAGTTTTGGAATCATGAATTGTTTCATCATGAGTTACTCTGTTCTTTCTCATTCTGGTGAAAATATGTGGAAACGAATGATATCCAATGGACAAGAATCGATATTATGTAATATACAACAACATTATTATTGTCAAGGATGGAATAGTCAAGTCGATGAAACTTTGTCATGTTCTTCTTCTACAGTAAGCACTCGACCATTTTGTGCTACAGTGATCTATTTATTGTTACAACATTATTTTCTTCCTCAAGCCTTTGCTTTTCTTATGGTATCCTTAATGGGTTGGATAGAACTCATTTCCTTTATTGTCATACACGAGAAATAAATAAGCCATAGTGGTTAATAACCTCTTCTGAACCAAGAAGGAGGTGGCCACTGAGGAGGGTCATAACCATACCCTCCAAAAGGCTGACAACGAATCAATCTCCAAATAGTTAATATAAGGCCTCTTTCAACTCCAAACTGTTGAATAGATTGAACAGCATATTCACTACAGTTGGGAATAAAGCGACAAGCACGAGGTAAGAGTGGAGAAACATGACGCTAATCCAATTACTATTATATTGTCTCTGTGCAATAAAAGAAAGAACTTTGTCACTACCTTGTATAGAAATAAACAACCAAGTATGAAGCGCTCAGTAGTACGAAAGAGACTCCATACAAGAAAAGGATGATCAACAGAGTTCTTAGGTAATATCATCTTAAGGTAATTGAAACTTTTGGTGCTCAGTTATTGTGTCGTTCTTATCCAAGGTAAACCATAAACCACTGGAGCACAACCAGTCAAATAGGTAAAATAACACTGATCACGAGCTCGTAAAATAGCCAATGCCAAATCAATGGCAGAATTGTTGTTCGACGATGTTGTAAACCATTCTTCTAATAAATAATGAGTGAAGCGATCAATATCTCTATCAGTAACATCCCACAAGTTGACCACGACTGCTTGAGCATGTGCATATAGAAAAGAGAAACAAGGGACAATTGGCGAATAGATACCTTGACTAGAGGGCTTTCCAGAACTACAACCCATCAAAAGTGCTATTGGAGCTCGTTCAAGTTTCCTTATCTGTTTGGCAGGGATGAACTTTTCTCCAGTTCCATGTCCACAATAAACAAAGAGTTGATGACGAGAAAGCTTTTCAACCAACTCCTTTGCTTGATCTTTTGAAGAATTCTGTAAAGGACCTATTGCGCCTTCCCATTTATAAGTTTGTTGAAAAAGTTTCTCAAAACTTTGTTGCGTTCTGTTCAAGTCACCTGTTGGATTAAGTATGAAAAATGCGTCTCGGGAAGATACATCGTAACAAAGCTCTCTCTGATTGTATTGTGATGACTTTTTCTGTTGGGAAAATAGACAATCTGCAAGTTCCAAGTTACTTATTCTGGTGACGCCTTGTTTCCACTTTTTTAGAAATGGAATAGACTCTATAGGTAGTGGAAGAAGGGTATCATCCAGAACCAAAAGTATCGTAGAGTCGGAATTCAACTGCTTATAGTGTTTTGTACCTAAAGACTTTGAACGAGTTTTGCCCAATTCCTTAGCCATCCACCACTTGTCGACATATTCTTCCAGTTGTTTAAGTAGCTTAGGTTGCTGAGATGAGGAATGATGACGATAATCTATGGCATACTTCAACAAATATAGCCAATCCTCCTTTCTATCTAAAAATATTCTTCTACTAAATATGATATGAAACAGTTGTCTATCCAGAATCCATTCGTTTCCAATTTTTTCTTGTAACTGATCAAATGCAACATTTGTATGCTTCTCCTTAGAGTTATGCATAGATAACAAGAAAATCTTCCATGCACCAAACAAAGTATCTTCCAACTCTTGCATATACTCACTATTCAAATACTTTTAGATTTTAAATGACTGCTGCAAGAAAGTTTCCATACCTGAACTTGTCATCCAATTCTTTCCTTTCTTTCCACCACAAAGACTTTTCTTCCATGGTTAGATTTTCCGATATTTTTCCACTTGCTTGATCATGACTCGCTTGAATCAACCTTTCTAAACAATTTTTTATACACTCCAAAGTATTTTTGCCATCTTCCAACTGTTCAGAAATCATCGTAGTATTCGTCAATCCATTTCAAAAATAAATGCCATATGTTTACTTACCGACTTCAATGGATATTTTACTAAAACTGGGGTTTCTCTCATTTGATGATTACCTGAAAAAAGTGTGAAAAGCCATAGGAATTTTTATCCTTGAGTTATCGTTACCTGGTCTAAGCCATAAATACATTTCGTTACCATTTATATCCGGAGTCAATCCAACTATAGTCCATTCCTTAGGAAAGGATTCCAAAAGAGGACAAGATGAACAAGAAGACAACAAGTGTTGGATGTTGTCCAAAGATAGATTGGCCTCATTGACAGATACTTGCCACTTCAATTGCATGGCTTTGCTCAATTCAGAAAGTTCGTAGCTATCGTCGAATTGAAAAAGATTCGTAACCTCGAGAATAATAACTTACTCTTGTGCTTCTTGGTTACTTTGATAGACTTGGTAATGATACCAATATTCCAATCCACAAGCTTTTTGAACAAAGTAGAGACAATCATCATATTGTGAAGTTCCCAGATGTTTCATATTTGCCATCAACAAAAATAGACGCTTCTGTAACCACGGCATTGGGTCATAAACAACAATTTGTAATGCTATTCAAAATTATATACAGTTATAGTGAAAAAAACTCGACTTGCCTTGTTCGATGAGATGAGTGATACCAGATATTCGTTGCATAAGATCATGATCTAGTTGTCGAGAAGAAGAAAGAGTACACTTCCAATCAAAAACTCTACCATTGCTTTGTGATATTGCAAAAATATCCTTTTTAGCATGTTTGTAGAAACAAATGGCTTGATCATGAGGATCCACAAAACGCCTTGTAATGATCGAGCACAATTTGTAGCTATTACTGGAAGCAATATAGTTATTGCCAGAATCGGTCAAATTCCAAAAAGTATGGTCTTTGCGAATTTCATTGCATTCTTCTAATTGCTCGAGACAACAAGCTGTTGAAGATGACAGATGAAGATGGACCATTTCGTTCATAAGACTTAGCCTTTTGAGATAGAAACATGATAAGGCTTGTAATACGGAATCTTGAAGATTCTGTTGAATTTCTTGTATCAAGAACTGAAATGATTCTATGCTTCTACAGAAATTTAGCAAGCATTCATTTCATATAAAGAGAGAGAGAGAGAAACGGAATAGCTACCTTTTGAACTTGTCTATCTGTAATGACTTTCTATATAATATCATTAAATAGTATGTGGTTTCAAAGAAACGAGGAACGCATTGAATCCTTTGAAAGACATCCAAACAGCACTGCCAATAATACTAGAAATGAAATTGAGTCATTTTCATGCAAAGTGTTCAAAATATGGAACTGCAGACCTCTGCTTCTGATATACAGCCAAGCTTGTCACATATTTCTCCCAACCAGCCGAGACATTCAGCTGCTTGTCTAAGATCATTCATAAAGCCGACATCGGTAGAAGATGGCTTCATTTTTATATGTGTACCTGCTACATTCAAAGTTTTCAATTCTTCATTCTCTTCTATCGTAGTACAATTCGCTGGAGACTGTAAACTTGATTGTTGCAACAAAGCCAAATATAACTTTACAGCTTCTAACGCTTTATCATAGGATCCTTTCAAGTTACCTTTCTTCCAAAGATACTGCGAATGATAGAATTTGTACAAAGCATGAGAGGATTTGGAAGGATACAAATCCTTTTGTATCTATTGGGTTTTGAATACAAAAGCTTTATAAAAACAATACTCACTGTTAAATTGGGTATTTTAAACTCATTCGACTTTTCATACGAACAGATATCCAATGCAAATCGTAAAAGAAGCAGCTCCACAGATTCTCCTATGGGGGTTATTATATGGGTCCACATTGAAAAGTCATAGTTCATACCAACAGAGTTGTCTAAACAGCTATAACTCAATAGCGCTTGGGCATTTTCATAGAGTCGATAGTTCTTTAGTGCAACAGCTGAAACAAATGTTAGATACTCTCTTATACGGACCGTGTCAATCGGACAATTTTCTCTGAAGACAGTGATAAAATGACATAGCATTTGAGCTACAGTCCATAAAAGCTGAGAATTTTGGGTCACTAAAAAGATTTCACAAAACCATTCAAGTATCTCAAACAAATGAATCAGAATGATTGGGCGAATTATTTGAGGAGAATATTGTAAAATGTTATTCCATAATTCTAATATACCCGAGTTCCTAAAAGGTGTGAAAAATGAGATATATAAGGAATAATATCTTGAAGATAGAAACTTACTGGAAAGAATAATTGGAGTTATTCATCATCAAGTCCACAAGCAGCTTCCAACTCAAATGAATCCATTGCAAGCATTCAACTTGAGCAGATGTGCTTTCATCTCTGTCATCATACTAAGAAGACAAAATGAGAATCTTTGTATAACTCTTTTGTTAAAGACTTTCATACTTTTGATGGTAAAATAGGGTCGTCTATCAACGTCAAGTCTTCATAAAATTTGAATCGTAAGATTTCCAGTTGAAGCCAATATTGTGTGACAGGATCATTGCAATGACGTTGAAGAACTATAACACAGTTTCTTTCACAAGACCAAGTATGATACAGTTGGGTAAAGTGATCGTTCACTTTCCATTGAAGAAGACGAAATGCAAGAAAGGCAAATTCCACAGCACTGGGACCACCTTGGATAGCTAACTGTTCAAGAGCCGAAATTCCAAAATACTATTTCAAAATAGGTTAGTCAATAAAGCCAATTTTCATCTTTTAACGACAGCCACCTCCTGCAAAGAACTTTCATTGTTTTCACACCAATAAACAAAACAACTCAATGCCTTTAAGATATCGCTAGGTATTTGCATTTTGGAAGGAGAATTGGAGGGATCAGCATAATAGATCATTTCCAATATGATGGATGCACAAGCACAGGGTTCGGAAAGACGTAACATTATTTTACACAATAATCCAAAACGACTCATCTGATTCTCCTTTTCGCCTTTGATCATCTCTCGCAACTCTATAGAACGCCTCATACAAATAGATGCGATAAGTAAACTACTTCTCTTCTGCACAAGCAATGCTGCAATGTTATGAAATAATTTCGCCACATTCTTGATCAAATCACTAGATGATGGAGAAGATGCTTACAATAGCTTTATCCATTTGAATTCATGGTATGAGTGATGTTACTTACCAGATATAAACAAATGGATTCCTTCCAGGGCTGGAAATAATACATCGTAGAGTTTCGCTTCATCCGGAATAGCTTCATGTAAACAGATCATGACTGTAGACTATATAAATACAGCACATTACATAAACCATGCAACAAGTCAATAGAAAGCTAACCTTGATGACATCGAATATATCGTACAATTCTGTTTTCACTACCTCATTTACCGTCACTTTGTAATAAGAACGTTTGAGTATGTTTCCAAAGCTTTGCAAGACCTTTTGTAGGAAAACGGCATTTTGGAAATGGAAGCTCACATAAGAAAATGTCCATCGATGAAGCATAAAGTCATAGATCCAATAATCATTTTCTACAGTCGTCATATCGTTTTCAAAGCAACTAAGGAACTTTTGAAAATCTTTTTGTTGCAATGAAAGCATATAAGAATATCTTTTCTGCTCAATTTCTCCAAATATCGAAAATGCTTCAAACGTATGAAACAGTTCTATTAATGTCTTTGAAACATCTAACCATTCTTTCACTGTTCTTTTTAAATCTTGTTGAGGAAACCATCTACACATATCCATCATAAGCTTGCAGTTTAACAGACAATGACTATGAAGTTTGCGAAAACTTGTTTTCTTTTTGATCTTCCTAAGTAAATCAAGGATTGCATTTCAAAATTTGGAGCATTTCTCAAAGGCAATTGCTTTACCTCAACACTTGCTGCACTAATTCTCGTATGGATGAATTTTTATGCGCATTGAATATGATATTATTTATCAGATGAAGCCAGTGAACAGACCAAAGTTTATCTTCTTTTACGTTGGCATTATCTCCATTCTCCCAAATAGATAGTTGGCATTCAAGAAATTGCCAATAAAGTTCTATGGATGACTCTATTACTGGATTGGGACTCTTGATATTCTCTTCTTCATACAACCTGAAAATCTGTTGAAGAACAAGAAATACTTCTTGTCGAAGTGCCTTTAGAATATTTGCAACATGGGTAATGATTCTGTTACTCTCATCCATACTGCAGATGTCTCTCCATATATCAATGATGATATGAAGAAGAGGAATGACTTCCAAACTACATTCATTGAACAAAAGCAAATATTGTTGTTCCTCCAAAGACATTCTTAGTGCTCTGCAGAGAGAAAATAGTATGAGAAAGAAGTCATTGTTGAGCTTTTCAGTCCAGTAGTATTTTCTCCAATTTGTTTGAATGCTGTTACAAATGGAGTGAATGGTACTCTTTTGGAGAAGAGAATGATAAGTTACATTTTTGAGGCCGCCAAGTCTTTTGAAGAGATGCAACAAGTAACGAAGACATTCTTTCAAAGCTTCAACCCACAATCCTCTATTTAAAGCATTTGCAATGAAGTTGTATGAATATCTATGCGGTTGAAATGAAGTTTGTTAGAGTCTTCTGGTAAAATGTTTCGATACTAGACTCACTTTTCCAAATCACTTTCATTTTTCATTTTCAATAGTGATTCGTTTGCAAATAAAATATCCAGACAGCGCTTCCATGAAGAAAAAAAGGTACAAGTTATTTCTTCGTATTCTTCATTTGTCAAACTGAACTCTTGTTTCCAGTCCTTTCTACATAGGGTGTCAAACTGTCGAGTGAACTTTAGAATAATTTCTGTTTAAACCAAAGTCAAAAGCGTTGATTGATTGAATCTTCAAAAGTTACCTAGTTTGTTTTTAGCGGCAATTGCAAAGCCTCTTCCCTTTTCTGTGAGCAAGCGTAACTGTGGTGCTCCTTTATCCCCAGAATAAGGGTTGCAATCATAGTATGGATTGAAAAGTTCTCCACAACTATGTATGAAATCTTCTTGTTCTTGTAAGGTTCTTTTTAAATCTGCTCCTTTCAATAGTTTTTGGAAGAGTTGGTTGTCATTGTTCATGGATGATCAGTACAAATTCAATTTCCAAAAATTGGATTTTCAAGACAATCAGAATTGGCGCGCCATATTTTGAGAGAAAACTGTTGAAATTTCAGTCTTTTCTTTTGTCTTTATAGAAAAATATTCCTTTCTCTATGTTATACATCGAAAGAGATTGAATGGTAGAGAGAGAGAGGTTGTGTGTGTATATGAAGTAGACTTTTTAAGAGTTGCCAAGTTTCATCTTGGACTATATTTGTTCTTAAGAAAAGGTTCAAATTGGTCTAGGCTTCAAACAGACTTGTGTTTTCTTCCCATCTATAGCAAGTTTTGTTTTAAGCCAAGACAACTTTTTGCGAGAAAGAATAGCATTCAATATAAACATACAAACATTTCCAAGATTCAGTCTTGAACAAAAACCTTTCCCGTCTTGTTGTTTTCAAATTTTAGGAAAACAACTTCCAGTTTGATTTGAAGAATAATCCTCGGTTCATCTCTATTCATTCCATACTCAAAAAGGCACCTTTAAGAAAACCTAATAACACTTATCATAAGATTCTCAAGCCGTATAACCACGTGTATCTCCATTCATTCCACACGATCGTAGCCAATATCAGTTTTTATCCATTGTGATTTCTGTATGATATGTTAAGTTTCTTTTCAAAAAGACGATCCATTTCAGACAATGCACACAAGTTTATTCAGAATATTTCTATTTTAATTGAAAAAGACATTCAGAGTGATACTTATGATATAGACAAAGTAAGTTCTGTATTTAGGTGTATGCACACAAGGTTCAAGTTGTTCTTGTTGCATCTTGCAGGTTCGGTTGGAAGTCTCCAAGTTTCTTGATGAAGTAAAGAATATTCTCCTTCGTGCTGAAAGCGAACAGTCCAAGAGTCGTGGTTTAGAAAGTGTACCTGAAGGTGAAACTGTTTCCGAGTCCAGTGGATCTTCTTCAGCGGATAAAGAGGCAGCCACTGAAGTAACATCAATAGCAGGAGAGACAGATTTTTTACTATTATTAGCACAAGGAATGCATGTACGTTCTTTATTTATGTGAAACGTTTATTTTGTTTACTAAAGTAGTTTTCGAACATGGTTAGGAACTGGATTTTGAGGCACGTAAGGACGCAGCACAAGTGTTCAATAACATTCTACGAAGGTGTGAGACACAGAGGTTACACACCTCTTTGAAAGCAGCTGGATCTCCTGTGAAACCAACGGCTTTAGATCGAATAGCAAATACTCCACAAATTTTGGAAGCTTTGATCAAAGGGTATGTTGTTCTAGGGGATCTTCTCTTGGTAGCTGAAATAATTTACTTTGTATAGCTACGAACATACAGAAACTGCTCTTCCTTGTGGTTCTATGCTCAGAGAATGCATTCGATATGAAACTTTAGCAGAAATGTTACTCTATTCTGACCTGTTTGGTTTATTTCTTGGTTATATTGAAAGCAACAACTTCGATGTAGCTTCAGATGCATTTTCTAGTTTCAAGGATCTTCTTACAAAGCATAAACAAGTGGTCGCTAAATATTTACAGTCAAACTATGACCAAGTCATGAATCAGTATTTTCGCCAATTGTTGCAGTCTTCCAATTATGTGACTAGAAGACAGGTAAGGATACCATTCTATTTCGATAAAAGTCTCATCTATTGATCCTAGTCGCTTCGTTTATTGAGTTCCTTGTTGACGGAACGAACCAATCTCCCTATTATGAGACAATATATTTCAGAGACGCACAATCTGAAGATCGTGATGAATTTATTACTAGATAGAAGCAAGAGTATTCAATTTGAAGCCTTTCAGATATTCAAGATATTTGTAGCTAATCCTAGCAAACCCAAAGACATTGAAGATATTTTATGGAAGAATAAGGAGCAGCTTGTGAAGTTCTTGGATCATTTTCATGAAGATAGGGTATTGTATTACTCTTCGTAGTGGCTTATGGGATTGAAAGCACTTGTTCCTTAGGCAGATGAGCAGTTTCAAGAAGACCGCAAAATGATTATAGAAGAGATTAGAAATTGTATAGGAAAGGAATCCTTCAGTTCAGAATAGTCATAATGTATTTAGAAAGGGTTTTGATATATATATGTATGGCTATGCACGACAAGTTGTACTTATTGAGATGCAATTGTCAATCGAAGAATGGCGAATATTCATTCATTCATTCATTCATTCAATAGCAGAAAACGAAGAAAAACTTTTCATCATCCTCAAGGTATCATTTTGATGGAGAGTTGCTTCATACCATCAAGTTGGAGGGACTATATATTGCTATATATACACTCAAGTTGCTCCAAATTGTTGTCAAACTCCTTAATGATGTTTTGAGACATGTGCATCTACCATCATATTCCTAGTAGCTGGAGGCAAAGTGATGACCATACCATCTAATTCTGGACTGGCAACTACCTGACAACCCAGCCTTGAACTTGAGAATACTTGAGAAATAAATCAATGTTATTACTTATTATCAACTTACTATTCTGTCAGTCCAAAGGCCAAATCTAACATATCGTTTTCGTCGTCTGAAGGTTCAGGTAACTTGTTGTAGGATTTCTCGTCCAAATAAACATGGCAAGTGGAACAAGCCAGAGAGCCTTCACAAGCACCTAACAAGTTTTATAAGTACAAAGCCTTGCAACTCTTTCTAAATTCTATAATCCTAAACCAGGTAAGCTTCTTTAACTGTCATTACCAACCTTCCAAGTCAATGTCGTGTTCGTGAGCTAGCTGTAGAATATGTTTTCCAATGGGTGCTTCAATTTCCTTTTTTGTTCCATCTTGTAACACAAAAGTAACTCGAATAGTTTCCTTTTCTGCTTGAGGTTCAGTAACATATTGTCTCATATAGGTATAACGTCTTGGACATAGTCTTTTGATCAGGTTTCTGGTCGTCGCTCGACAAATCCACATTAAGAATCGTCTACAAAATAAGAAATAATGGAAAATACAAAGCATCTGAGCCCACTTTTTATTGCAACCGTCGACTTAAAAATCAACCATAAGATGATGAGATACTCCATTCTATTGTGGTTTTGTATAACCTACAGTATCGAAACTATAAGCAAATTCTTCAACTTGTTGCTTCAGGTTTTCAATTTCATTTGAATAGTTTTCCAAAGCTTCCTTAAAGTCTTTGAGTTTTGGACCAGAATTCTTCTTCACTTTGGCAGCCAATAAAACTCCTGCATCCACTAATTCAGCTATCCTAATAATACATAAACAATCTATTTCCAAACTATCAAAAACAATACTTCAACTCACTTATCAAAGTCTCTCTCTAACAGTCCACGACTAGTCATAGCGTGTGTACCCATTCGAATGCCACCGGGAGTAAAAGCACTCTTATCACCAGGAACAGTATTCTTATTTACTGCTATAGAAATCATTTCTAACACTCTTTCTGCTCTAGCTCCATCCATTCCATTAGGGCGAAGGTCAACTAATAATAAATGATTATCAGTACCACCACTAACCAAATGATATCCTCGTTCCTGTAACCTGGTTGCAAGACGTTTGGAATTCTTTAAAACTTGTTGTTGATATGCTTTAAATTCTTCCGTAGTAGCCAATTTCAATGCGACTGCCAAGGCACCAATGGTGTGATTATGAGGACCCCCTTGCAAACCTGGAAATACTGCACTATTGATAGCATTTTCCAGGTCATAATAGATTGGCTCCTTTGGATTATTCTTTTGGTAGCCTTTGACTCCCTTGCGATAGAATATCAAAGCGCCTCTAGGACCACGTAGTGCTTTGTGTGTGGTAGTTGTAACTACATCTGCAAAAGGAAATGGAGATGGAACGACATCTGCAGCAACCAAACCAGATATATGTGCAATATCTGCCATCAAATAGGACTCGTTTTGATCGGCTATTTTACGCATTCTATACATTCCATAGGATTATTGTCTTCTGTACAGAATAGACAAATACCAACCTTGCATAATCATAATGTCTGGAATAAGCAGAGAATCCTGCAATTATCAACTTGGGATGAAATAGAGCGGCATTTTCTTCCAACTTATCATAGTCTATTAGCCCAGTACTTTCATTCAATCGATATGGCATAGACTCAAAAAAGATACTTGTGGCAGAGACTCTCTTCTTAGCAGTCATAAACCCATGTGATAAGTGTCCTCCATGAGGAAGATCCAAGCCCATAATTCTATCGTGTGGACGCAATAAGGCTGTATAGACTGCAAGATTAGCAGGTGAACCAGACAGTGCTTGTACGTTCACTCCCCACTCTTCTGGGTTAAGATGAAAGGCCTCCAACGCTCTTTTCTGACAAAGAGACTCAACTTGGTCTATGAACTGATTTCCTCCATAATACCTTGCTCCTGGATAGCCTTCAGAGTATTTATTGGTTAAACAAGAACCTATTGCTTCCAATACTGCTCGAGACGTAAAATTCTGCGGAGAAATACATAAAAATATTACAAGATAGATAGAAGCTCGTTTACCTCCGATGGAATAAGTTGAATTCCACGAGTTTGTCTTCTTTTCTCTTGTTCTATCAACTCAAATATTTCGGTGTCTACTTGTTGCAAGCTACTATTAAGGTTATTAGGGACTTGAGACTTGGTGCCAGAATCTACTGCTCCTTGTGCAACTGAAAACTTTCTCTTCCAAATAGTAGTATATAATAGACAGCTAGGTTTGAGTTTTCCTACGCCCTTCATATCCAAGTGAATTGAGAGAAATGAGAATGAATGAATGGATGAAGAGATCGATTCCTCCTCTTTGAGATTTCGACAGCTTTGGATAACAGTCAAAGAAATGATAAATACTGCTATATGTTCTCAAAAAACTATTGTTGATGATGCTCTCAATATTCCAATCTTATTTTTTATTGTCTTTCCAAAATGACAAAATAGTCTTCTTAAAATGGACATTCATTATCCAATACAACAGACAGAATATTGCCATATTCCATACACAAATTCCAATCGGATGGAATATTCTCTCTTCCTTGATAACTGACTTGCTTCCATAATATCATTTCATTCATGTTCTCTTCCCAAGTTATTGGCTGCTTCTCTCCGTCCTTTTTAGAATACCAATACAAATTACATTCTATGCAACTATCATCTGTTTTCCAAACCACAAAAGGAGCATGAGGACGTGCGTTCCAAGCACAATGACAACCACAACATGTCAAGTATTCCAACAAGGCTCTCTTTTGAGAATTGGAAAGCATTTGTTCCGATATTTCATCCAAGCGATGAGGTTCCTTTTTCAATGAATCAAGAGCATTATCTATACGCTCTTTAACCACAGTGTTGAGATGGAAACAAAACAATAATTGACGAATCTTTTCTTCTCTCCTATCCCTGAAGGAATAGATTGAGTTATTCTCAATAGGTTCCAGTATGATCTTAATATCATATTGGATAGAGATATTCTCCAAGAAGATAGAAATAGATTCTCGCTGTTCATTTACTACTTGACAAGTAGAAGAAATAATACTGCCATTGGAATAAGTTGTTATATGTAAACAAGTTGATACACCAAGAAAAGTAACTTTCCAATCTCGTTGCTTTGGAACACTCGATACATCTCCTTGTGCTTTAGCAATATTCATTTCTATTCGATTACTTTCGCATTTCAACTCCAAAAGGGTCATACAAGCTCCTTTTTCATATTCAACTTGAGGTTCTACTCTACCATCGTCTTCTAATAATTGAAAACTACCATTATCACCTACAATGACGACAAGTTCCAATTTACAAGGATTATCGATAGGAAAACGATAAGAATCAGTCTCCACTTCTTCATCTCTTGAAAGAGGAATAATCGCACCAGGCCTACCGAATACAGGGATATCTTCAAGTCTTCCATAAATAATGTGCCATTGATTTCCTTCAAAAGCTTCTCCAGTGTAAATATTTCTCCAAGGAGCCACACTTGGAGGTAACCATATTACCTAAAACAGCATATCATGATTGAGAATGGTCTCTCTCCATTCTTCATTACTTACTTGTCTGGAATGTTTGGAATAGAAATCAATTCTTTCTACAAAAGGAGCTACAATCAATTCCGAACCAAACCAATATTGACCAGGACAAGCATAAGCATTGGCAAAGTTGGGATGTGAATAATACATCGGTTCTATCAATGCAATGCAATATTGAGTAGCACGCCAAGCCATTGTATATAAGTAAGGAATGAAAGAATGTCTCTGTTGCATTGCATTTTGACAAGCTTGCAAAATATCCACATCATACATCCATGGATGACTGGAGATAAATATCATAACATCATTTCCATAAAAAAAAAAAGAATTATGAACTTACCGTGAATGATAAGGATTTTTGTTGGAATGAAGTCTTAAAATGGGAGAAAACAAACCAAACTGTATCCAACGAACCAATAATTGTGGTTCTTCTATACCAGCAAAATGTCCTCCAATATCATGAGACCAATAGAAATATCCAACATTTGCAGCAGTTGCAGTAAAGTAAGGTTGAAAGGCCAAGGAATCTGATTATTTCTATTAACAAAATAATACAATCAACGACTCAAACTTACTCCAAGTGACATGAGTATCTCCAGAAAAGCCAATAGGGTATCTTTGACCTCCTAATCCAGGAAACCTTGAAAAGATAAAAGGTCTACGACTTTTTTCTCTTCCATGATCCAAATAATGAAAATGATTCAAGACAAATAACGGATCAACTCCTTCTAGAGAAGTTTTCGTACCTTGTTGCCAATCTACACAGTTCAATATCTTAATCCATTTCAACACTTTCATTAGATATGAAACTTACCCATCCACCAAAAATCAACTCCATTCTCTTCTTCTTGTGTATGATGCAATAACCGAAAGTAATTCTCTGTAAATAATGGATTGGTAATATCAAATGGAATTGGTTTATTCTTTTCGATGTCTTTCTCCGATAGTCCCATCGAAATGGCAAACTTGTGATAAACTTCTTCATGAGGCCAAACACCGTCTGCAGGATGTAAATTTAAAGCAACTCTTAAATTCTTCTTATGAAGCCAATCAATCAAAGCTGCAGGATTAGGAAACAATTCTCTATTCCATGTGTATCCTGTCCATCCTGGATGACAACCAAAAACTTGAAAATCATGCAATTTGCAGTCCACAATATCTATCAAATCATAAATATCAACAAAGAGGTAAATGAATACTACTTACGCCAGTCCATGTCCAAAATAGAAACTGAAAATGGCAATCTATACTTTTCAAATTGTTGGATAAGCATTTTCAATTCATCTTCGGAATAACGCCAATATCGAGACCACCAATTCCCTAAAATGTAACGAGGAATCAATGGCACTCTTCCTGATACTTGACAAAACAACTGCAAAGCTTTTCTATAGTCGGAGCCATAGCAAAATATATAAATATCACAAATATTATTTCTTTGTGAAGAAGAAATAGGCCAACCACTCTCATCAAACAGTGGAGTGTTCGAGTCATCGACTACCACAAAACCTTTGGAGGAAATCATACCTATACCCAAATCTACATCGGGCGCAATAGGTTGTCCTTTCCAATTGCATACTTTCCACCCGTTTGCTTCATCCAAAGTTCGACAAGTACCTCCCAAGTTGTGCTTTGAGTGTTGTTCCACAGTACAAGGACAAAACTGTGCGTTTTCAGAACCTTTCAATTGGATAAACAACTGACCTGAATAAACTTGAGTCTAAATACAGACAGAGTTGAGATTCGAATACCGTTAAAGTCATTGCAATCTCTTTGAGGTTTATATGATAGTTTAAAAAACTCAGTTTCCAAAAAGAGCTTCTCCTCTTCTATTGCTTGCACCTGAAAAGATACCTTCTTCCCACTGTTTCTGTTTAAAAAAGAAAAAGACGATCTGTCTTCAAACAAGTATTCTTGCTCCAATCTTTTGCCAAGTTCACAACGAACTACGTAATCGTTGATAAATGTAAACCTTGTACTTCCTTGATTACAAATAAATGTGGAATCTTTCAAGGCAACAGAATTTCGACTAAAGTCTCTAAGCCAACTACACAGGGTCGGATAAGAAGAATCCATTTTCTATCAGACTGCCCTTTGCCGACCTTTTCACGGAATGAATGGCAATTTCATTAGTCTCGTTTGGTGCTACTACTACAACTCTTCATTTAAACAAATTATGCTCTTTTGTTTTTGAATAGCTTAAAGTTTCATCGTAAAAGTACAAATTAAGAATTGAAGAGTATTTCATTTTATCTTCCATCAGTGAGAATCATTTGTTGAAGATATTCCATTTTTGAAACTTGGATAGAGAACAATAAAGACATCACAGTGTCTATTTACTCCTTTATCAAGTATTTTATTTATTGTAGTCACAAATCAGAATTCTATTTTATCTAGCCTATTCAAATGAGAATTTAAAAAAAGAGGAACATGACAAAAGAGTTAGTAAAGTCATTGGTTATCCACCAAAATAGGAAAACATCTTTGAATAAACAAAAGCTGAAGAGTTTTCTATATTCTATTTTTCAGAGTAAGGATAAGAGAAATGGACAAATAGCCAAAGTTTTTGATTCCAAGGTCTAGAAAAGTTCAAGATTGTCAACTCTTTCTATATAATGAAAAGGTTGTTGATATAAAAGTTTGCTTGAAATGGAGCAATACAAGGACAATGAATTTATTTAAATAAATGCCTTTCTTTGCTATTCAAACTATCGTTTACAACTTGTGGCAAAAAAGGAGTACCACCGAATTTCGTAGTTCGTGTTCAAAGCTAGGCAACTGTTCAGAACTCCTTTGTTTCATCGGTTTCCTTTTTTCACACGCAGTAGCTCTCACCAAATGTAACTGAGGAAAGGTTACTTCTACTCCAGATATTTATACAAATTCACATATATTTGATATACTATCGGTCAGAGAGTATTGTGTTTTCAGATTCGAACTTTTCACTCCGGAAGGATGTCTCATTTGTATAAACTCTGTCTCCTCCATCTTCTGCAGACCAGGTTGATCCTATTGTTTCAGCATTTCTTTATTAGACCTTGGTTTCCTCACCAAATGTTTGAAGGGAGAGTTTGCAGTGTTGGGCTCATAACTTCCCTACGAACGCCTCAAGTACAATCTTTATTGTTTTGAGAAAATAGTGTAAATTTTAGAAGAGTTATTAAAGTGCTAAAGTGTTGTACGAGTCGTTGTACTTTTCAAGAGAATGGCTGGTGGACTATCCTTAGACGTGTCAAATGGCACTTTTTCTAAAGCTTTCCAAAGTGTTGAAAAAGAAAGAGCTGAGGTTAATCTTTCGTGGAAAGATAATACAAGGAAAGTTATCGTTAACAAGGTGGCATCAGCTTTTGGAAGCACTAATATAACTTTCGAGTACTTTAAAATTCTGAAGACTTGAGAAAAAGTGTAGAAATATATCTGTTTGCCTCTTTGGGCATTATTTGGGTTGAATTGTTTTAGTGTTTTGAGAAACAATTTGTGTGAACCAATAAAGATAGTTTAAAAATTTTTGGTCTTAAATATCCTCACAAGAATCTTATAGAAGTTTTCAGTATTCTCAAGTAGTGACCATTATGGAATTAATTGATAGACTCAGGAATAACTGAGAAAAGTATACCGCTGGCGACGGTTGTCAAATTCTCAATTCAGACTGATGTAAAATTTCTAAAAAGGCCATTATGGATGAGCATAACGATCTTTCTAGAAATGTTAGTTGAGATTATACATTTAGACTGGGTCATTTTGAATCATCGCGATATCATATCCGAGTATTGAAGCTTCCTCTGGTAAATTTACTTCTTTAAGATATTCTTCAGTGGCCTATTTCTGATATTAGTGTTTATAGGTGGAGTTGATCACCCGTTAGCCAATGTTGCAGCTTTGAAGACACAATTCCATTCAGGGAATGCATCATCTTCTATCCTTTCAGCCTTTCAACGTTGAAGAATTTCAGAGCTTGATTGGCTGAATTCCCTGTTTCATTGAGACAGAAGAAACCTTGTTGGTTCCTCGCAACACTAACGTGAGAATGGTTTTAAGGAATTGACAGATGGAAATGGATGTAATTGTCATTTAGAAGCTACTGGAAACCCTAAAACTGAAGAACAAAGTCTCAACCTTATTCGGAAAAATGAAAGAATTCTGGAGTTTGCGATTGTCAAAGATAGGACTTCTGTTGAATGGACCCTTAAATCCCATTGCAGTGGAGATAACGGATATATAAAGTGGCTATTCATATAATTCTTCGTCGAAAAAGTCCTGTTGAACGGTTTTCACTCATGAATTGATTGAGTTTAGACAATATCATTCAAGGTATTCAGTATGTCAACGAAGGAAAGAATTCTATCAAAGTGGCAGTTGACCCTACAAAATAATTTACTATCCAATAAATTCCGAATGTGTTGTTTTATAAAAGTAGACAAGTGGACATGTATAATGACTATCGAGCAGTTGTCCCGTTCTGAATAGAATGCTTTTCACGAGTTCAAGTCCAAATGACATAATCCTTCTGAATAGAGAATGGCCATTGTCTATCGGACACAATGAAACGAAGAGAAGTATAAAGCGACCCAAAATGTTTTGTCCATTGAATTGGATATTATCTCACTCTCTTAAAGGACGAGGGCTCATTTTCAGTTTTATTGATTGCTATGAGTATGTCGGCTAACGAAAATTTGTTTACAGAGGAAAGAGCAAACATATATACAGAAACAGAAAACGAAAACTGGAAAGAAGAAACTGTTGAAGATTTGGATGATGAATATTTAACAGAAGAAGAAAAACTTCATCCATGGAAACAAACCAAAGTATTTTATTGGTCCGTATTTGTAGCTTCTGTTGCAGTATTGTTCTATGGTATTGATATTTCTGCCATCAGTGGAGCACAAGTAGGTTACAAACCACACTTTCATATTTCTTCTAGAACCAATTTGGTTGGAGTTATGGTGTCTTGTATTTATTTTGGTACTTTTATTGGAGTATTTGTTGCATTATACACCAATACTTATTTTGGAAGAAGGTTCTCTATATATGTAGCAGCCATTTTGTCTACAGGTGGCTGTTTATGGGAAGCACTTGCTCCTTCTTGGCAAGTATTTATTCCTGGGCGTCTGGTAGTTGGCATTTCTTATGGTATTATTGGAGAGACTGCACCTGTATTTCTCGCAGAAATGGCTCCTACGAGTATTAGAGGTGGCATAGTATCTCTATATCAGCAAGTAATTACTATTGGCATCTTTATTGGCTATTTGGTGAACGTGATATTTGTTTGGGTGGATTATAAAGTAACAGGTTGGCGTATTATGATTGGAGCTCCTATGGTTCCTTCTATCATTGAAGTGTTTCTTGTATGGACAGCTCCAGAATCTCCAAGATGGTTAATCAAAAGAGGCAGATTGGAAGAAGCTAAGCGTAATTTAATGAAACTTCGACTTTATCCAGAAACTGCTGAAAAGGATTTCATTCGTATTAAGAAATCTATTGAAGAAGATGAAAGACTTCAAGAAGGCAAAAATTTGATGTTGGAGTTGATTCGACTCCCTTTCTTGAGGAGAGCTGTTTTGGTTGGCATCATGGAAATGTTGTTTCAACAAATGAGTGGAATGAATGTTTTTATGAATTATATTGACACTGTCTTTCAAGAGAACATTCATATGAGTTCACGCGATTCTGTTGCAGTTAGTTTATTTCCAGGTTTTGTGAATATGATGGCTACTCCGATAGTATTCTTTACTATTGATCGCTATGGGAGAAGAACATTACAATTGGTCACTTTTCCAATTATGTTTTTAATGTTATTGATGGTATTATTTTCCTTTTATGGAGATCGCAAAGTGAACTTGGCATTCTTTATAATTGGAGTTATATTCTTCATCGTAGCTTATTCTCCTGGTGCAGGTCCAGTGCCTTGGACCTTCTGTGCAGAAGTATTTCCTACTTATGTACGTGCAGCAGGAACTTTGGTTACCACATTTTTTGTGAATGCTTTCAACTTTGCACTTTCTTTCTCTTGGCCTTCGATGGAAGCTGCATGGGGACCACAAGGATCATTTGGTTTCTATGCAGGTTTTAACTTTTTAGGAATATTAATGCAATTTCTATTCCTTCCTGAAACCAAAGGATATACCTTGGAACAAATGAAAGTCGTATTCGAAGAAGGACTATTTACTATAGCATGGTATCATATCCGTTCAGGTTGGAGAAGTCTTCGAAAGTTGTTGGGTTTGCCTGTATCCAATACTCCTCTTATTTCACCCTATGATAAAGCTGTGGCATTATCAAGAGCAAGAGAAGAAGAATTACGTCGTCATTCAGGTGAGCCAGTGAAGGACGGATAGACGTAGACTGTTTAATTAAGATGATGGAGGCATGTCACTGTTGCGTTTTGTTTGAATAAAAGTATACTTTAAACCAGCATTGTTTGCATTGGCATAGAGAATAAACCACATTCCAAAAATCGCTTTGGTATATTGCGGTGAAATGAATTTAAAGCACTTACCAGAGCTGTTGAAGGGGTAAAATACGCAAATACTCGACTTCTACAAAGAGTATGTCGACCGACTCTAGTAAACCTTGCTCAGCTGTATCACATTATTGAAATATTCCTTCACGACGGTGACAACTGATCTTCTAATTTTGCCGTTTGTTTGATGAACAAACAAGCAGTGATGCCTAGTGCAGATTTCGCTGACTTTGAAATA